CATCTCTAGTTATTAGCGTAGTATCGAGTTAACATTTTTACAATCTACTTGATATATTTTACTATTTATTACTGTATAATATAATTGTATAATTTTGATTATTTTTAAAAATATTAATATTATTTTAGTAACTTCTATTTAAGGTCTTAGAATTTCATATAGATTTGGTAAATTATTTTATTTTCATACGTTTTTGTATCAGCAATATTTTAATTTTAGTTAAGTCCCACAAGAGATCGAGTGATGCATGTTCGGAATCATGTTTAGTCAATAAGAAAACACAAATTAACTCTATATGGCTAATTATTAATCTATTTGATAATAACTAGTCTTTTTTATTTGTATCATTCTATTTAGTATTGCCTACTTGTCTATTATCCTTTCAATTTCTCTTAGATTAAAATTCTGTTTTTTTCCATATTTTGTTCTATTTTAATGAACAGATATTTTTAATTTGTGTTTTGGTGTCTGTGTATACCTGTAATTTTTGCTAATTTATTTGTACAATTATTTCTTTGGATGCTTTATCTGCTTTATATATAAGAGCGATTTTTTTTTTTTTATATAGCACATTCATTATTTTTCTATTTTGACTAATATTACCTTAAATAGATTAAATAAATATTGGAGACTTGTTAATGCACTTATTAAATCGCCAAGAATCAGCCAATTTTGTTCGTCACGGTTTGAGATATATTGAACTATCTCTAAGGCTTCGAAGGTGTAAATAGTTCATTATGAATCATTCATTTATTTTTGTATTAACACTAAGGTTTTTGAGGTGATGGTAATTCCAACTCCAATATCGGATTTTAATAAATCAGTGTATATTTATTTTCTGCATAGTTTTTTTTTCTTTTAAATCATTATTGATTAAGATTTGTTATATTAAAAAATGGTTTTGAGTCATTGTTTTACGATTTTGATATATTTTCGTTTATTGTGATTTATAAGAAGTGTTGCAATGTTTATTTTTAGCTTCTGAAAATGATATATTGATGCGGTTTACAAACAGAGTGACTTGGACCGGTTTTTTATATTAGAAGCTATATCATTTATTGTTATTATTCATATTATGGTAGATAATAGATATGTTTGAGCCTTATAATATGCTGGTTTATCGTTTAAAAATCTTTAAAATTGTTTTTCACTATTTTTAAATGGAATATTCTTTTACTTTAAAAGGTTAAATATTTAAATATAAATAAATTTTAACATATATTAACTACTTAATAATCTTTTAGTTTTTTGTATTATTTTCAATCTCCGTATAAATGTTATTTGCTTTCTATAAGTTCAATTTTATAATTCTTAAACCTGTTTTTCGTTTATTGCGTTGTGGATTTGAGAGTTGATTTTTAGTGAGTTATTCATAGTAAAATAGCATTTGCGGAAGTCATTTTGTTCATTTGTTATGTAATTGATTTTTTTCGATAAATCAGATTAATCGATAGTTTATAATTTTTTCTTGTATTTTTTAGTAGTGTTATTGGGTGATACCCTTTAAGGCTTTATTTATTTTTCTGTTTTATGTAAGTTTTTAGATTACTTAAACTTAATTTAACATTCTTTAAACATAATTTTGGACTTCTATAGTTTATTTTAAAGAATTATTAAAAGAAATCAGGATGAAATGGAAACAGATATAGAGAGCGATGGAAGGAAGTAGTTTTGGTGGCTAAGAACCTAAATGGCTCATAAAACCCAAAAAAATATATATTTTATTTAATATTTTGTCCGATCGGGGCTTTTGTTTTTACATTTTATCAGGGCGTTGATTTATTTTTTTAAGATTATTTTTGTATTTATAGGTGTGATTGGTCTTCTAGTAATAGGTCTATAGTTTATTTAGTTATCATAGTTTTATTAGGAAGTTTTATTTATGTTATTTTTTTTTTTTAAATCCGATCTTTTCAATTGTTTCCCGTTTTGATCCTCAGTGATTTTTTGTTTTCTTTAAGTATTTGAATATTTAAATTTAAATTTATGCATTGTAATACCACATAATTTAATATTTTTGACACTGTTGATACATTGTCATTATTGTTATTATTATTATTATTATTATTATTATTATATGATGTGCGTGTCAGTCGACCATGTGTATTATTTTTTGTACTTCTATGGAAGTTTACGTTAATGCGACATAATCGGTCAATAATGTGACATGTGTTAAGTTGTTAAACAAAAAGGATGAATTCATGAATAAAGAATGAACGACTTATTTTTAATTTTTCTCCTAACAATATTAAATACAATAATAACATACAAGGACAGTGCATGTTTTCGTCGCATATGGTGTGTTTGGTGATTACAATGGTCATCATGTTCCGCTACGATTCATTAACTCACGATATCTATAGTGCACATCTGTCGCCTCAGCTCTCTCTGACTAATTGTGTCATCAATGGTTTTTAATTTTTTTTTTCTACGTTTTAGACTAGAAATAATAGGCTAAATTGCTAAAATCACAGCATGTACCTTTTACATGTGGCTATGTACTACAAAGGAGGGAGGTTAATTTTAGTAAAAAAGGAAAACCTAACAATACTGTTAAAGTCTTTTCATCGGTACTTACCTGACTATTAGGTATGTTACCCTCATAGCGGGTATAAAGTGTCCCAAACTCTAGCGAAAAAAACACTGATACATAACATTTTAGTGTTTATTTTATTCTAGATCAATGACTGGTCTACATTTATTATAAAAAGAGATGTGATTAATGTGAATGTTTTCCATGATTAAAAATTAAACAACTTAAAATTTTTTATTTGCTTTTAGCTATATTTTAGTTGTTTATAATCTGTTCCGAATTTGATTTTTTTGTATAGATTTAATGTTTTATTTTATTGCTAATTTCATCGTTTTACTATGAACCCTGGTATTTAAATTAATTTTTATTTAAAATTTCGATACATATTAGTAAGAGATTACTGCTGTACACATATAAATAGCAAGAATTTCCATATTAGTGTTTTGTACTAGTATGAAGTATGATAAAGCAAGATCAATTGTTAACTATTCTCTGTTTGATGGATTTAAACCAGTATTTATTTTTTTTTGCTATTTACAATTTAGTTATATTAAATTGTCATTTTTTAATATTTTTTCTATAGGTTATTAAAAATACCTATTATTATGAAAAGTGTTGGTAATTAATTTATTATTTTATTCAGGTCGTTGAGATAAAAATGTTTTTAATTAGGTAGGTAAATGTTACAATAAGTTATTTATTCTTTATCTTAAATTGTGATTATTGCTATCGCTTTGATATCGGAGTTAATAATGATTTCTTTTATAGAAATGTATAATTGGACGTAAACAGCAACTCAACTGCTTGCTCGACTAGTATTATTTTTTCTATTTAATTAGTATATCTTGTGTAATTGTTTAGTTTAATTTAAAATTATCTTAAAGATTTTTATTTTCATTAATTATCTCAAGTATTTGTTAGATGTTATTTTTTTTTAACATTTTTTTTGTAAAAAGGATTTAGATTTCATTGAATAATTTCAACGTTAGATTAGAATTTATTTTGTATTAAACCTAGTATATAATGTTCTATTATTGTATATCTTCTATTTGGAACAAGGCATTTGATAACTTTTTTAGCATAGTTTTAATGGAAATGAAAAATATATTTAGTAAATTTGACATAGTTCCTAATATTTACTAAAATTTTTAGTTCTATGTTACATTGAATCAATAGTTTTTTATGTCTGTTTTCCTTTTTGTGTTTTTGACTAACGCTTTGTATGTCTGGTTTATTATCGGTAAAAGATTGTTTTAGGTAAAGACTGGTTTTGTGGCTTAGTACGTTATCTGTATTTTCGTTGTAATTCATTTTAGATCGATTTTTTAATTGCTCGGTTGCCGTGTGATTATTGTGTTGTTTGTTTGTTATCATCAAAATTACTTGTTAGTCATCAATTAATTTGAGTTGAATGAAGACAAAGAAAAGAATTATTTTTTTATTTCTATATGTATATTGTTTCTTTTTATCGATTTAGCTTTTTAGATTTACTTTGTGTGAATGTTGTATTTTGGTTTTTTCTAATTAGAGAAGAGAATTTTTCACTTATTGTTTTTCATTTACTTAGGGTAATATGACTTTTAAAAGGGGGTTCCAATTTTTCTATGCTTTATTTTTCAATGTATTACTTGTTTTTTATACCTATAACATGTTAAAGAATCATTTGTAAAGGAAATCCTGTGGTTGATATTCTCATGTTTATAATCAGTAAACTTGAAATTTTGTTGAAATCTTTGGCGACGAAAACTTATTTAGTGATATATGGTAAATCTTATTTTCTGAATACTTGCTCTGACATAAATGATTTTGTTGGTCGGAAAAACGCAGATACTTGCAAGTTCGTTTGGAATTATATCATAAATTGTGGATATAGGTATGTTTGATATATCTATAATTTTGACGGGATTAAAAATGTTCTTGTTTGTTTGGAGTGTTATTTATTTGTGTTTAATTGGGTTGAATTAGTACTTTCTCATCAATCAAGCAAAAAAGATGCGAAAATGATGTTAAAATATTCAAAAAATAAAAACTAATATTATTTTCAGATTTTGTTATTTATTTTACAGTAGAAATATAATTTTATTGCTTGGTGTTGTCAATAATTTCGATAATAAGAATTTGATCTTAATTTGAATTAGTCATTTTAGATTTTATTTTAACTACGTAACATATTAGTTTCATTTTATTTAATTTTTTAGGTTAGCTGTTAGTGAGTTTTTTTATTGTGGTTTGGCGTTGGGTGGTTATTGTTTAGGTTTATATTAGGTAGTTATTTGATTTTCGAAGTTTCATGGAAATCTTATATGCCGTGTCCGTGGCCCTGTTTTGTAACATTTGTAATATTCAATTTATAAGGTTTGTTTTTGTTAGTGCTATGGGTATCCCTTTTCTAAGAGGTGGTTTTACTAGGAAAATCATGATTTTAGGCTTATTTAAAATTGTCTACATAATTATAAGTTGTACGTACCTTAAAATTGTGTTGATTATTGATGTTTGTATAAGTGTTATCAGAAGAGAGACTTTTAAATGTACTGTACGACCGTCACGAATAAGCTGATCGAGTTAACTGCGTTATCATTATTTAATATAACGTGTACCTACCTTTTTATATAATATTTTTATAATACGTTTAATAATTTTAGATATGTATATCTATAAACTAGATATATTATAACTGGCTATAATTGATATATTGTGTTTATTTTATACACGTGTCGAAAATATTTTTTAAATAAGCGGTTTAAAATAGATGTTTTATATTTGATTGATAATTTTAATTGGCTCGATACATTTGTTACTTATTATTTATTAATGAAGTAGATAACAATTATAATTGTTATGAATGAAGGCGTTGATTTGTTAATTGAAATTTTGAATCGGAATAAGCTACCATATGATTTTTTAATATTGAAGAGCCGTTTACACCTAGATGAAACTATGAGATTTATTATATAATATATAATATTTTGGTTGTATTAGCATTACATGAAATAAAACATAGGTTTAAGCATTAATTTCAAAAGAATAAGAATAACATATAGACAGTGTGGTAATTATGATCACTTAAATTATTTTTTAAATCTGGTTAAACTCTGTACCTAATTAACGTAACCATAAACAGTACTTAGATTTCGTATTTTTGTAATTTAGAATTATTTTTGAAACACCCTAACTGATAAAAACAAATTTCTGATTTGTATTGATTGTTTTATTGTTTGTAAATTTAATTGTAGTTTATTGCATTTTATTACAGAGCGAGCTTTCTAACTTGTTTATTTTTTCCAACCGTAATGACTAGTGACTAGTATTTTATCAAAATGGAATCTAATGCATTGAAATACTGGATAGAATAAACTACGCATTTGAATTCAGAGGAATAAATATCACAGTGAGTTTACTAAGAGTTTTGTCAAAATTGAGATTATTCAACTCACCATATTTTCACAGTTTCATCAATAGAATTGATAACTATACTATTGAATTCTTGTATTTCTTCATCAGGCTCATTACGATTATTAAAATTATCCCAATATATTGTCTTTGTAATTTGTAATTCACCTAAATCACAAGCTCATATACTATCGTAAAGCGTTACTGTGTTTATATTATAAGAATTGCATGCGTTTGAAGGAAGTAAACTTACTCATGTGGCTTGGCGTGGCGCGTTAGCTCCTACCAGTCGTGGAATACGACTGGGAGTAAGTAACGGCGACTGCTTTTAGCTCCCGGATGGGTGACCATCCGGGATCATAGTTATAAAAAAACCTTGCACACATATACGTGTTTCTATCAACTTTAACAATCGTAAAAAACAACATACCGACCAACCTTACCCCTACAACAGCTAATGGCCCTAATCGCCGGGCTTTAGAATAATAAAAAAAAAAAATTACTTATTTGATATTCAATTTATAAACTAACTAATATAATAACATATATAGCATTAAAAAACAATAGAATTATTCAACTGTTTAGGTAAAAACTCAAGCGAAATAATTACATCTTTACTTACAATAATGACTTGAAAATTAAAAATCTTAAGAGTGAAAATTCAAATTTCGAGTTTCTTTTAAACGTAATTTGTAATCTTTTATCTGCGTAATCTATAACTAATTAATGATGTATAGTCATTAGTCAGTTATATTCGGGAGTTTACCAACTGCGCTCTAAATATTTTAAGGTCAATAGACCAATTGCGCTCTATACATTGTAGGGTCGATAGACCAATTGCGCTCTATAAATTTTAGGACCGATAGATCAATTGCGCTCAAAACATTTTAAAATAATTAATAGAAACTTATTAGCTAGTTATAATTATATTATAATAAATAAATACATTGATTTTTTTTTGAGAATATAAATAAATACATATAGTTAATTATTCAAAATTTAAGTAATATCACTCAAATTCATACTTGTACGATCAAACATGCCTAATAATAATAATTTTTCAAAAAATTCCCGATACTGTTATAAGATATATTATAACTAGTCACTTAAACCAGTAGGTAATCAATTGATCAATAAATAAGTTTTTGATTTTTAAGCATTTTTATGTGTAAATTGTTCATGTCGATGTTAATAATTTTAGATTGAACAACAATACTTTCATGTTTGAAGATAGGAAAATTGAAATACATGCGCAATTGGTATACTGACCCTAAAATATAAGAAGCGCAATTAATACACTGATCAGAAACAAAAACTTTGTTTTAGATCCATGCCCTTATATTTTACGTTATTTTTGAAAAAGCATATATTATAAGATTACGTATAAGCATTAAAATTAAGTTGTATATACAATATGTCTTAATAGTTTAAGAATAATAAGTACATTTTTATTTTTATTAAAATGTTTTTAAAATTGTGTTTTTTATCCCTAAAATATATTTTACAGTAAATAAATTGATACTCTGAAAAAAATGCAATTATAATTTTACCAACAAAAAAAAAAAAACTCGGCAAAAACGGACAATATTCACAAATTATTGTATTTCTTCTGTATTATATTTAGCCAAATCTTCAACTGTGATACTATATAACAATTTTTGGAGTATCTACATACTTGAAAAGAGAAAAAAACCATTGTAGACAAGATTTGTTCACATTCCTCACGCCGTTATAAAACCAATATATTATTCAAACTGAATCTAAAAACGATATAATATTTGTATTAATACAACTGTGAATTTTTTACAGTAACTCAATAGCAAATAAGAGATGATATGAAATATATTAATAACATTGATTAGAAGTAGTTAGAGAAAAATACATTCCAATCGAACCATCAACGATAATTTCGATTTATAACCTACGTATACATAGAGATTATAGAAACAACATACACGTAGGGTGGTCAAATTTTTTTATTTTTTTATTTTTTTTGAGGGGGGGGGGGGTTAGACATGTACCGACTCATGGAGGACTTCATCTGCATTTGGTGTAGAAGGCTTTTAGAGATCTTAGGGATTAGATTTATCTAGGACTTAGCCCCCCAAACTAAGAATATGAGAAACAATGACCATGTGTTAGGAGTATAAAACACTTAACTGTATAAAATCAAAATGGCACAAATATAATATAGTTATAAGGTTTTTAAAAATAAATGTGACATAATACTAAATACGTATTAAGTATAGGTATTGTAGCCAATAGGTAACTAAATACGTATATATACCTATACATTGTTACCGTAGATAATACAAATTAGTAAAAGACGTAATTTACTAATATGATTTACCCATGCAGGTAAATCTTTTAAAAAACATGTTTTAATCTCAAATATACATCGTTTATAGGCCATTGACATTTACCAAGATTTACGGTTAATAGTGATAAATCTCAAATACGTATAACATTTATTGTTTTTTTTCTTAATTGATTGTAATACTATTTGATCTAACAAAATGTTAGATTAATTAAAATTAATAAAATAGAAGCTCAACATAAATTATTTATTCATTGTTGGTGCAGTTAAGATTACTAAGTATGATATTTCGAACTGTGCCTACAACATTTCCCCTAGATTGCAATCACAATTTTTAGTGCTACAACCAGTTAATCATACAGTTTCATCGATTGAAGCCTTGATGACCAATTGTTCCTTGTCCTACAGCTTCGCGTAGAGTTATTTTCCTATTTTTAGTTTTTTTTATAGCTTAATTTCAGTTTTATACATTTTTCACTATATGGAGTAATTTGAGCTCTTGTTTGTGTTTCAACACGCTATATTGTCTGTACCTTATTCAAACATGTGGATACTTATTATAAGTATAAATTATTATAAAATACGCGTTCGTCGCACACACAACTTATCAAAATATAAGCGAAGATACTAACTAATAAACCATTTCATATTATTATTACTTGGATGATCGATAGTTGGATTTTTGTCGTTTATTTACATTGTTTATGATATTTTTATTAAACGAAACATTTTTGTGTGTAAAATTATCAATAGATGATGTTCTTGAATGTCGTTCTTATCGATATAAATGAATTGAACATTATTCTCCAACTAAACTAGTAATTGACGTCAATAATCGGAGAATATCTACATTCACAATATTTACCGATTTTTAAATAAATTACCTCATTAATCGAGAAATGGCATAATTTATCACGTTTACATAATTAATTATAACACAAACACTAAATAGCAATTTAAAATTAACGACGGTAATTTAAAAAATGCATTTAAAATAAAATTCAATTAAATAAGAATAAGGAACTTCTGTAATTTAACGCTGTCATTAGGTACCTAATGGCTAATTTTAATATATAATATGTATAACATATTATGTTATATAATTTGGGTTACTGTTATAACATTATTAAAGTATTTAAGTATCTTAAAGTTCTATTATACACAAAAAGTACAATTGCATTAAATATTTAATATAGGAGTGTGTTAAATAATATGATTTTTGAAACTTTTAAGAAATAAAACAAATAATTAGTTTTTAATTGTTTAATTATGACTTATGAGTTTATAAATGTATGTTTACATAAATATTAACTGGTAAATAATTTATGTGATTTTACAAACTTAATATTTAACAATTACAATAGAATTATCTTAAAGTATATATATATAATTTATTAAATATGATTTATTGAATACATAAAGAGTTGATAATTTAAATAAATATGTCGTTCAATTTAAATGTTATTACAAAAATATATTTTTATTATTTTTTATCGAATTCCCCGTTTCCAGTTCCACCAAAACCAAATCCAATACCACCTCCTAATTGCCCACCTCCTTGCCCATCTGCTCCACCTCCAAATTGCCCACTCCCTTGACTACCAGCTCCACCTCCAAATTGCCCACCCCCTTGACCACCTGCTCCACCTCCTGATTGAGATATTTGGTTTTGACCTTGTAAGTTTCCAAAACCACCATTTAATGCAGTTCCTGAACCAAATCCTTCACCTTCTTCATAACCTTCCTCGGTTCCTGATCCATAACCTTCCCCAAATCCTGTTGCTTGACCATTTCCAAATCCATTACCTTGTCCACCTCCAAACCCATTACCTTGTCCACCTCCAAACCCATTACCTTGTCCGCCTCCAAATCCATTACCTTGTCCGCCTCCAAATCCATTACCTTGTCCGCCTCCAAATCCATTACCCTGTCCACCTCCAAATCCATTACCTTGTCCACCTCCAAATCCATTACCTTGTCCACCTCCAAAACCATTACCTTGTCCACCTCCAAATCCACCTCCAGAAATTCCACCATTACTTGCCCCAAATCCATTTCCAGATGCAGCTCCAGAGGTACCACTATTCCCTGTTCCAAAGCCATTTCCAAACGCTGCTCCCGATGTTCCACCATTACCTGCCCCAAACCCATTTCCAGTTGCAGCTCCAGAAGTACCACTATTACCTGCACTGAAGCCATTTCCATTATATATTGCTCCAGAAGTACCACTATTACCTACCCCAAATCCATTTCCAAATGCTGCTCCCGATGTTCCACCATTACCTGCCCCAAATCCATTTCCAGATGCAGCTCCAGAATTACCACTATTACCTGCCCCAAATCCATTTCCAAATGCTGCTCCTGATGTTCCACCATTACCTGAACCAAAACCATTTCCAAATGTTGCTCCATTACCATTACCAAAGCCATTTCCAGATGTTGTTCCACTACCAGCTCCAAATCCGTTAACTGTATTACCCCCTGATGTTCCACCATTACCTAAATTTCCAGTCACTCCTTGACCATTTCCCCCTCCAAAACCACTTCCAAAACCATTTCCTCCGCTACCAGAAGTATCTTCAAATTCATTACTTTCCCCAAAACCACCACCCCAACCAGAAACCCCTATTCCACTCCCTCCTCCAAATTCAGAACCAAATCCTCCATTATTGCTATACAAATTGCTTGAGCCTAAAGTTCCAGCACCATTATTAGATGCACTATTGAAACCTTGTCCTTGGCCAAATCCACCACCGACGCCTGAAGCTCCAGCTTGACCAAAGCCATTGGCCGAACCAGAAATATGGGCACCACCTCCCGTAATAAATTGTCTTACTAAGCTAGTACTTTTTATTGGTGCGCTATCATGTGATTCAGGAGGATGAGATGATGTGAATACCGATTGTTCATATACTTGAACGCCGATGATTGGATGACTGATTAAAATTGTCAAGAAGACCAAGCACTTTAACAAAAATGAATTGACAAAATAATTAAAATTAAAAAGCAAAATAGCAGTATGTCTGTATGTTATTCAATAATAATATTATCATATGCAAGATAATCCATACAGATGACTAATTGGAGTTTCAAGTCATACTAAATTTTATTACCATGGCATTTAAAATTTAAGATTTTTCATGAAACTTATGTTTATTAAATTAATTACAATTAAGAATTTATTGAAATTTGTATATTTTTAATATTTAGTACATAATTAAAATAATTTTATTTTATAAACACCCAAAAGGATAGTTTATTGTTAATCATAAACTATATACATATGTACGTATACGTATGATAGTTAGGTCTGGATTAATAATTACAGTTGCCTTAAGCACTGAAAAATGTTATTACATTGTGATAATAATGTTACATAAACATAATGAACATTGCTCAATATAACTCAACAATATCGGGAACTTGTCTGTTATCTAGTAGGTTAGGGTGACCTACGTCCCGTTTAAAATGAGATTATCCCTTTTTTGGTCTCATCATGTCCCGTATCCCGACAAACTGCGAACGAGACGCTTTTTAATCTGTTTTTAAAAGATGGTATCGTTTTAATTCCATTATTTCCATATAATTAAATAATGTTTGTAAAAAATATATCGATGTATTAAAAAATATAAAACAATTTCAAAAAGAACAACATGTTATAATTATTACTTATTGATTATTATTTTATTATTTTAATGAATTGTAACTTAAACGTAATTGGAAAAAATAAAAATTTATCATATTAATAGAAAAATTGTTTGTCCATTTTTTATTTTTATAAAAATGATCACCCTATAGTAGGTGTCGAGTGTATCCTGTCATTAAGATCACTGTAATGGATGTGTCAAATTTGAATATAACAATACATTTTTGCATACCAAAAATGATTTTCAACGGTTAGTCAGATTATATTATTACTAAGTATATTTTTTATTTATTTACATAGCAATTAGTGATTTATTTTACTATAAATAATTTTTAATACATTAGATTAAATAATTTTTTGTCTAAAACATCGCATTTATTATAATTATCATTATACCTATTAAAATACCAATAAATTATGTAGTATATAATACTAGGGAATACTTTTATCATGAACTTACTATTCATGATTTTGAAAATATTTCATTTATCTATATTATTTTCAGTCGAAATAGAAATAATATTTTTTTAATATGATCATTTTTTTTAAGTTTTTTACTTTTTTGAATTGATTACTTAAATTTTAAATTCATATTCTGAAGCAGAATATTTTTCAAAATATGTTTATACATAAAAATCTAAATTCGAATGAAAAATTTTTGAGTTATAAGTATTTAGAGTTTTGATGAGCGGGGGCAACAAACAGCATTTTGCGAGGTTATCTTCACAAATCATAATAATTTGAATCTAGTGGTGAAATTTTTTTCGCATATTTTAACAACAATTAAAAAAAAAATATGAATAAAATAATATTTATTAAGTAGAAATATTAAAAATAATTTTTTTGACATTAAATGATAACCAGAACGTGGATTTATACGCAATCGCTTATTATTTTCTTTATCACTTTTTTTGGATTTTTGTCAGTTATCTTATAATGATTTGAATCTAATGGTGAAATTTTGTTTGTATATTTCTGCATATTTCAGTAAAATTCGAAATGTATGCATATTAAAGCGAAAATTTTTTATATACTTAGTATATTTTAGTAATTAATTATTATAAGTTGTTTAATTTGTAATATTTATATAAATATAAAAAATGTGTTGCATATTTTTATGATTTTTACTGCATATATTATATGGCATATTTCAATACTTTTTAGTGCATAAAACTCTGCGCTCTACTTATAACTCAAAAACTGCTCGTTGGAATTTCGAATTGTATGTATAAAAATATTCCAAAAAATACTCTGCTTCAAAATATGAGTTTAAAATACAATGTTATCATTAAAAAAAGTAAAAATATTAAAAAATGTTGTTTTTTCTGAATGCAAATTATATAAATGAGATACCTATCTTCAGAAATATCAATGGTTTTTAAAATAATACATATGTTTCATGATAAGAGAATCACGCTGTATTTATATAATATTTGTACCATGCACAATTATTATTAACTTTTAACTCAATACCAATTTACTATAGAACAGTATTAATAATTTCATGATAAAAATAGCTTAAAAATAATCTAAACATTTTAAATAGACATTGTGTATAGAGAAATATAAAAATATACATAAACATCTCATATTCTAACGAATAATGTTTTTAAATTACTACAAAATAACTAAAATTAATATTTTTGTCAAAATGTTAAATAAAAAATAAAAATTTCTTAAATATTATTATCAAATTTTTATGTTTCAGCAAAAACTACTTATGAGGAATCCTGTATTACATTTTTATCTTCGCTTTAAAAATTGAAAATTTTACGTATTTTAACTACAAAATAATTTAAAATGTTCGTGATTTTATCATAATTATATTTTCAAACACTTATAAAAAAAAATGTTTATTATGTATTGTACTCTGTATTTTTAATATTTTTAAACTGGTATTAATACGACTTATGTACTTACATTTTTTCATTACATTCTCAAAGGTTTTAATACACCAAACATTTTCATAAGCACTTTAAAAAAACCTTAGTAATTCTGAAAATTTGAATGCTACTAAATATTTTAAAAGTTTCATTGTAATTAAAAAATGACGATTTCAGTGAAAGTGAAATATTTTAAACTATTTGAAGTTCGAATAATCAATATCAAAATTATTTTTTAGAGAATAAATTGGTATAATACGTTTAAATATCATAAATATCGTCAACATTTGATTTTCAATTCTTCATAAAAAAACAACATATGAAACTTTATTTTGAAGTTAAAAAAAATTTTAAAATAATTTTGTTTTAATACTTTTAATGTTTTAAAATTTAATTCAATAAACTGAATAAAACTACTGTATTAGTTTTTCTTAGAGGAATTAAAAAAAAAAGTAGAAAATTAATTGGTTTGACACGTTTCTTTTGCATAAGTGTTGGGTGTTTAAATTTTGGCAACAACGAATATTTAAAAAAAAAACAATTTAGAATAATATTTTGGTTAATACCCTAACCATACACGCTTATATTATTTGTTCACCAATTCAACTCTAATAATTACAAGTAAATAATAATTATAATATTACTTTAATTTATAAAGCCTAATCTGTTAATAAATATTATTTGCAAATAAAAACTTGAAAAAAAAAATATATTAACCCTATGTATATTTAATCAATCTCGAATAATTTAAATATTTTAATTTATTGTTGTGTTTTAAACGATTTAAAAAACATTTGTCACACGTTTAATTTTTAAATAATAAATACATCGTCAATTATAACATATTTTATCTTAGGTTATTATGTATAATACCTACTTATTTATTTATTATAATTTAGAACTTAGCCTAATATGTACAAAATAATGAATGCTTACCATTGAAGTGTAAGAAGCCATGATTAATCGTTGAATGTATCTCTACAGAATAGATTATGGGTTTTTATAGTGTGAGATTGTTATTTATTTGAAAGAAATGGAGGACACACGACCCCCTACTTACTTATGTAATATCACCCCGAATGTATTATCTATACAATAGCATCTGTCTAATTATATAAGCCAACGGAATCCATTGAAACTTTATTTAGTCATATTAATATTATGTAGGTACCTATAGTTAGTTTTATTTCCTTATTTGAGAATACATTCTATTAGAAAAATTAATCAAAAATGAATGTACAATTTCACCACACATTATATGAATAGTTCAAATGTATGACCTTAATAAAAAACACACATATCTGTCAATGATTTTAAACAATAATTGTATAGCATTTTTTATATTAAAATATAAAATATCATCTAAATATTAAGTATAACAATGTAATTTCAATCTAAAATTAATTGTCATATTTTATTTATACAACACATTTAAAATATTATAATAATTAATAATAAGTGGTTCTAATTAGTAATCAGTTGTGTAGGTATAATACTTTAATACTTTATTTTTATAAATACAGTACACATAGTGTTATCAAATGTTCCTTTATGCATATGTCTCAACATATCAACTTAAAATATATTTTAATAAAAATATAACAAAAACATACGTATAATTACGTATTTCCTACCAAGCGTATTTAATTCATGCTGATAGGTATGGATCATAATTATAATAATAATTATTATAGATATTCAACTATTTTGAAAAATATATATTAATTTACGATTACAACACTTAAAACTGCAAGAAAAATAATCGCTCTTAAATGTTTAATTAAAATGTAATAATCATTACATTCGAAATTAAAAAAAAAAAAACAAACTTAATTATTTATTTATATAAAACTTTATTACATAACAGTTCAGTGTTGTTCAGTACAGTAAAACACAATTTCAATGTATTAATTTGGAGATAAGATGTTATTTTTATAGTTTATAATTTATAACAGTATATTATTATACCTATTTATTCTGAGTAATCTACTTCTGAGTGAGAGATGAATGTACTTATAGGTTTTACAATAATGTGTAGATTATTTTATTTATGCTTATAGAGTATTAAAAATACTTCAATTTTCAACTTTGAGAGTAGCTAGCAATAGGATTTAAAAGGGATATAAAGTATTCCCCTTAATCTTAATAGTAACAAAATCAGCAAAAAATTGGAAAATTTATGCAAAAAGTACCCTGAAATTTTTATGAAATAAATTTAATATTATTAGTATTTTTAAAAAATTATATGATTTTTTTAAATTTATGTATGATAAAATATTTGTGAATAAAAATGATTAAAAATCAAATATGAAGTTCTTTGAATGTTTTTGACGATAATTGAAAAATATCGAAAAAACTAGCACAATAAAAAAAGAATTGTAGATAAACAATTTTTATTATTAAAATTTATCAAAATCATGAAAATTTGAAGAACTATTGAAATTAAAAATTGATACAATTTTATGTTGAATAGTTAAAATTTGAAGCACTAAAAAAAAAATTAAAATTTCAATATAAGGTTTTTCAAAAGTTTTCTTAACTGAATTCTGAAAATATTAAAATTATGCAGTTAACATTTTATTTTAAAAAAAATATAGTTCTTATTTTCATAAAATTGAATATTTAACAAAAAATAAATATTTTTCTCGCGAATTTAATTATTGTGGAACAATTCAAAATGTATTAATCGTAAGGACTTGAAACTTTTTCTTGTTACCTATGTGTATAACTATTATTACTTATTAAATCACAGATATTTTTAAAATGTTTAACTGTTCATAACACTATAGTCTATAACCTATTAATATTATTGGTTTTGGCTTATAAGTTAACAAAAATAATGTAGGTGTATGATATAAAATTAATTTATATTAATTGATAACGTCATTTGTATGCGTGGTTTCGGCAAAAATTAAGTTCAACTTATTATGTATTACTATTATATTAAACATATTATTAATAGAAACATAAATTACTTTAAGTAATATAAATAAATCAGAAAGTATTCATTATCATAAAAATTGACACACCGTCTCTGCTAAGAAACATTTACTATTGAATTCAAATTTAAAATTTAACGTAATTATTATAAGTACTTACAGTACTCACTACTCATTAACAAAGTATATTGTCTATATTTATAGTTAGTTAAATAAATACCATTTTTGTCCAGAATCATTATTGTATGCAATTATTTATTATTAATTTAAAATTTAACTTATATCCATTACAATGTTTGTTTTTTTTTTGATTTTAATGTATTATAATATAATAACATAATTTTAAGCAAATCCAAACATTTTATAAACTTAAACCATGATCGATATATCCCTCCATCTCTATTACTATACATAATTATAATTATAAAACGTCCTGTTTATGTAAATATGTACATTTAGGTAACATAAACGAATAATGTGATAGTTTTAAACAAGAAACGTAATTAATCGAATTACAATTTAGTATACTATTATATTATACTGATAAAAAAACAAAAGACGCCGGTTCGGGACTAGTATGAAAAAAAAGCTATTGGAAGGTACTTAAATCTTTAAGTATTAAAGATTTAAAATTTTATTTTTTATTTTTTTAAGTATCTTTTTGTATTTTTAACTACAAAATATCAACAATAACCAATCTAAATAATAATAAAGGAAAATCTATTTATAGGTCAAAAATACATTGGTTTATTATAATTTTATTTATAATCATAGATGATATTATATTTCATACGTTATTATTTATTACGTTAGGCCTTATGGCTGATATTTGTAATTATGTTTTAACGACGCAGTGAAAATATAATATATAAATTGATATGTTTGGGCGGTGGGCCGTTAATAATAGCCATCAACTGAACATATACGAAAACTTATCTACATATTATTATTATTATTACTTTTATTATATTTATAGGTATTACCATTGGTTATAATTTATATAAATTTTATAAATTATTATTAATAATAAAGATAACCTAAATATAAAGATATTTTAGGGAGGGCTTGAGATGGCTCAGGGTGGGCTAAGCCTTCCTAAGCCCCCCCCCCTATTTACGTCCATGCGGTTTACGTTAACTAGAGTTTTTTGTCGTAAAGAGTTTCGTTTTAAAGAGTTTTCACTGTGTTATATTTATATAGTATCCAATATCCAAATTAGTTACTCATCACATACCATGATATTGATAAAAATGATGACAGCATGTAAACATTGCTCAACCCACATAATATAACGGTCAGACTTAAATTATTAAACGTAATCGGCTATCTAGTTTATCGTAAATATATATATATATATATGTGGTCGCCGTTGACAACACGGTGTTGTCATGTAATTAGTTTAATACAGTTTTATTTATATCGACCACTTACAAACTTTCTTAATTTTAGATGGTCTCATTGGTGAACACTTACACGTTTTCTGAAATTATTAGAACACTAAATGTTGCCTAAATGGCCAATGAAAACACATTAAATTTCCGTGCGACTATACGGACACACAGATAATACAGCACTGGCATGGAACGTGTTAATAAATGAAAATTAAGCATTATTGAATTTACTAATGAATCACTAAATCATATAATATTTAGACATTACCACGTGAAAAGTGTATCCAATTAATCCGAAAATAACCAGTTGGGACGTCCATCCGATTGGTAGTATTTTGAGTACGTACCCAACAAGAATTAAAACATTAATTATAAATAAGACAAATCAATTGTCTTCTATAATTATAGACAGGTTATTTTCGGTCACGTCTTGTTCATCGAATCTATTTTCCTCTATATTAAATCATTCGCTTATTTTATATATACCGTAATAATAATAATTATTATTATTATTATCATAAAACTAAAGTGAAAGCGAACACGGTTTTGACGGGAGACATAATTTATAATTAATTAAAATTAAATAAATTTTATTTGCTTATGTTAATTTTTTTATCGTTAACTGTATACTCAAAAAAATGTTTTGTTTATTTTTTATCTACCATATTGTTCATTTATGTTTTATTATTATATATGTATTTTGTTTAAATAAAATAGCTAATACTTAATTTGTTTCTGTTTTTTGTTAATATCATGATACCTAATTTATTCATTGGAACTTATGAATAACATTAGTAGGTAAGTATTTAAGCCACACTAAAGGTTTATTAAAAAAAAACTGATTTATACCCATATGGCTGTATCAATAAACAAGAAAAACGTTCTACTAATATTTATTGGAAGTAAGTTTTATTGATATTTCGGTATGCTCAAGTTGAACATCATTTTAATGTTACATTTAAACATAATCATAGCGTTGTATTAATATTTGTTTTCTGTTCAAATTAAATGTTATTCTTATGTTTTTTTGTAACATAATTTTAACGTTGTATTGATGTAATCAATTATGTCTGCTGTATATTAAAATAGCATTACTATTACATTACTTTTGGCGGACATATAGGGTTTATTTTATGTTTATTTAATGACAATTTAACAATTTTTTTTTAACATTATTAGTTAATGAAAAACATTAATTAAATGTAAATAGAATAATATTTTGCACAGTGGGTAAGTTCATTCAAAAATAAATAAACAACAATGAGACTTCCCACATTGTTTTTACATTAATTTTACTTATTTATCATAAAAATGTATAAATATTTAAGCAATTAGTTTTAAGTAGTATGTACTAACATTTAAACCGTTTAATTTATGAATACATAACTAATAGGTATTACCACGGTATTCACAAATTATATATAATATAGAAAATATTGAGCCATACATTTTTTATTTGTCGCTATTCAATTAAGTTAGAATAATATTGTAGCATTTTGCAAATAATTGTTTTAGTACATCCAAAATATAGCTAAATGAGATAAAAAACCATTCAAAAATTAGGTAATAAAAATATGCTATTTTTATTTTGCATAATATGTTGAAGATTTTGATGTTAACTGCAAATTTTATTATTTTTATATTTTTAGGTCAAATAACTAATGAGTATTTATTCATAAAATGTTTTTATACTTCAATTTATGTTTTAATGTTCGTTAAAAATATTGTTTATATGTTTTAATTAAAAATATTCAATTTTATTTTATGTTTTGCTTATTGTCTATCGATTAATATGAGATAAAATTTTATACGTATTTAAAATATGTTAGCGTATTTTTTTCACAAATGCATATTTTATTTATGTAACAAATACATAACACAATATTTTTTAGAACATATAATTGACCATATTTCATAGTTTTTTAAAGAATTTAAATCCTAACCCTGGTTATAATATAGATTCTTATTATATTACAAATATTATATACGTTTACAAAAATCGGTGAAAAAAGCACAATTTTCATTTCGACGACACTATTTTAAAGTTTGTAAAACCGTTCTTTAAATAACGTATTGAACACAAATCACAATATATAAATATATTATTTGGGACAATATTTTGAAGCAAAATAGATACTGATTATTAGTTATTATTTCCAACAGGCTTAGATATCAATCTATTACCGAATCTTTTCACGTCATAAATTATGAGAACATCACAGTATTCTGTGCAAAAAACTTTTATCGCGTATTATGTTATACCTATCGTAACTATAATATACACTATATAATTATTATTTATAGCTGTTATAAATTTATAATCTTTTATCACATAGATTTATTTAGCTAATTGATTGATTGTATGAATAAGTATCCACGTGTAAAGGTCGACTTATTTAATCATCATTCATATTAAAGTCGAAATAAAAAAATCTCAAAGTCGTAGTATTTTACTTTCAACATGCGACTATGCGAGTATGCAATAATTTAAATTTTTGCAGTAATACGTAATGATAATATAAATTGTTGTATCTAATATATTATAGTAATAGTTAACGTAGTATCAAATTACTTTATATAACTATCAATCCTTGGTTTCACCGTAATTTGTATACTAGGAATTATGATCCCTGAAAGTAGTAACATCCCGTCGTGTTAAAAATAGGTGGTGCATAAAATAATTATCAACATACATTAACGTGATGTAACATGTTTTTACTGTTTTAATGAACATATATAATTTATATGTAAATCGTCTATAATAATTTAATTATAATTTAAATTGAAATTTTGACGAGTATATATTTACGTGATTTTTGTTTTGTAACTTTTATTAAATTTAAATCCAACACAATTAAGTCTTTCCAACATTCAAAAGATTTTCTAATGAATTCATTTTTAAAGAAAAAAAAATGAGATGTTGATTCTAAGAGGAAAGAATTCACAATGACGGTGAAATATATATACATTATATATACGAGTACATTATGAAATAATGTCAAACATTCAATACAGAAATCAGAATACGAATGGAAAAAACTCAAAATGAAACGTAAATAACATTTATTTTAAACATAGGTTCACAGTTGTAACTGCACACCGAGCTACATTGCATTTCGCGATCCCTTACCTTGTCAACCATACGTATGTTATTCAGGTAGATGACAGGTGTGCGACGCTGTCATAGTGTTTCGCACCGTTTAGTGTGTGCATATTACATAACTCTTTTTACTTTAGGAGCAATAATAATATATGTTCACGACTAATAATTTATTATATTCATTACCGAAAAATATTTTTGAATAATAATTTTTTATAGCACCCCGATATTCTTAATAAGCAATTTATGACGATTAGGTTTCAAAAAAAAATTTAAAAAATATTATTTTGATAAAACGGTACGTGCTTGCACCTACCTTCTCACAAGTCACTATGGCCCTGAAAGTTGATTTAATCTTCACTTATAAACAGGAATTATAAATAATGATACTACGATTTATTGTTGGAACAATAAATCATTTTTATTTTATTCTTACTTCAAGAGCAAGGAATGAATTTCATTTACGAGAGTTTTTTTTATTTACATGTGTTTATAAGTATACAATAAGAAAATAGATGAAAAAATTCTTAGATCTTCAACTTTAAGTGTAGTTTCTAATAGTAAAATCGATCTAATTTATACCTTTGAGAGGTCGAAATAGTTGTAGATACTTTAAATTTGCATTAATTGCTTATTATATAAAAATTTTATGATAAAGTATTCAAAATATTTTGATTTTTTTTTTTTTTTTTTGGAGGGGAGGGGGCTACTGAGTATACGAGTATGCGACTTTCAATTTTTTTTTTTTTTTTAAATTGTTGTCATCAATAAAAAAATTTCAATTTTTCAAAAATGAATAAACACAGATACTTAAAAACTTCACAAAATATTAATTATATTATTATTTTCTATGTATTGTATGATTTTTGACTTTTTTGAGCTATTTATAGACAATTAAATTTTTTTAAATTTTTATAAATGAAAACAAAAAAATTATGAATGAACGAAAAGTCTTGAAAATGTAATACAAGGTTCCTAATAAATGGTTCTTTCCTAATTAAAAAATATCGAACTTTTTTTAAAATTCGTATTAACTCAAAAAATATGAGTTATTTTATAAATAGAAACACATAAACAAATTTTCGTTTACACTAAAATTTAAAAATTGAATACAAGGTTCTTTATAATATTTTCTACCAAAATAGAAAAAATTCTATTAGAAATTTAAATTAATTTACTGTGAGTGTTTGAAGTTCAAATTTATTTCAGTTATTGTAATAGAAATAATACGCATATATTCATTAAAAACAAAATTTTTAATGTCAAAACATAAATAAAAATATACATTTTTAAGTATAATAGAATATTACAATAGATAAATTATATAAACACAATAAAATACTAAAATAAAAGTTTTTCCGTGTAATTTAATTAGTGGACGTACACCAAAATAAGTTATATACGAATAAATAATTTTATATATTATACGATAGTTATATTAAAATGATGAATAATCACATTGAGTTGGAATATAAGTATGGCTCGTGCCGTTAGCCATAAATAGCTGCTGCACCACTGCCGGCACCGCCGCCGAATCCAATACCACCGCCGTGTGCAAGGGCTCCGATGAGTTGAGGCTTGTGGTGTAGACCAAAAATACTATGACCACCTCCGAATCCACCACCAACGCCATAACCACCGCCATGACCGAATCCAGCACCGTGGCCGAATCCAGCACCGTGACCGAATCCACCGCCGTGACCATAACCTCCACCGTGTCCAAATCCACCGCCATGTCCGTGCCCGTGACCAACACCGCCACCAAAGCCGGATCCACCACCGTAACCTCCTCCAGATCCACCGCCAAATCCACTTCCTTGACTGGCTCCGAAACCGCTTCCTCCAGATCCAATACCATATCCACCAGTGTTACTGCTTGCGCCACTTCCTGAGCCATAACCGCTTCCTTGTCCAAAACCAGCACCGCTGGAACCGCTTCCTTGTCCGTAACCAGCACCGCCGAAACCACTGCCTTGTCCATAACCAGCACCGCCGGAACCGCTTCCTTGTCCATAACCGAAACCGCCAGAACCGCTTCCTTGTCCAAAACCAACACCGCCGGAACCGCTGCCTTGTCCATAACCAGCACCACCGGAACCGCTTCCTTGTCCAAAACCAACACCGCCGGAACCACTTCCTTGTCCATAGCCAGAACCGCCGGAACCGCTGCCTTGTCCATAACCAGCACCACCGGAACCGCTGCCTTGTCCATAACCAGCACCACTGGAACCGCTTCCTTGTCCAAAACCAGCACCGCTGGAACCACTTCCTTGTCCGTAACCAGAACCGCCAAAACCACTGCCTTGTCCATAACCAGCACCACCGGAACCGCTTCCTTGTCCGTAGCCGACACCGGTTCCGTAGTTACTGCTGGCTGATCCACCACCGACGCCATAACTTCCTCCGGCTCCTCCTCCTCCTCCTCCTGCACCACCAATGCCATAACTTCCTCCGGCTCCTACTCCTCCTGCACCACTTCCTCCGGCGCCGCCTCCGCCACCCAAACCAAAACCAACGCCTATTCCTAACCCCGAGGCACCTCCGCCGTGACCAGAACCGTAACCGCCGCCAGCGCCACCATGGCTTAGTGGGTGTAACGCACCGAAAATTACTCTTTTGGCAGCTACTTCATCAGTATCTTCAGATTTCGACTCAGACGACTCAGTTTTCTCTTCTGTAAGTTTGGATATTTCTTCTCCCGTCACAGAAAAGCTTATGAGGCACACAACGGAGACTAACACCTACAAATATACAAAATCAAAAACATATTTCTTAGCTAGGTGATACGTAAAGTTTATTTTAGTTTAGTATAAGTTTTTTTCTGCAGATCAATATTGTGATTTTAATATTATATACCTAGTTGTAAAATAAAAACTAGCACAAACACTTAATTATTTATAACTATTTTTCTTTATGATTATTAGAAATTTATAATAACTAATATACATTTTTAAACGTGATATTTTGTTAGTTGATTTAAGCTTAAAAATCGCATTTATATAATATTATTAAATACTTATGGAATATTTAGAAAAACACTTTTAAAATAGGACTACAGCAAAGATATTTTCTTAAACGTATATTATAAAGAAACATTATAACAATGAAATATGTATTTTAACATTAATAAATAAAATAATATTCATTTAATGACACCAATAATGTATAATATACTCATTGCAATAAAAATTGATTACTCGTTCTAAAATAATTATGTCTTTTACGAGTATAAGAATGGTTATAAGTTTTATTTTAATTTTATAAACTTATATTTGGCTTTTTATTTTTTTACACAAAATCGTAAAGTTATGTCAAGAACTTCTAAGAGAATTATTTATAAATAAACAATAAAATTTGAACTTTACAAAAAGAGACAAGTGTTAAATGGATCTTCAAAAACTATTTTATTTTTGTATGCGATATAAAACTTATATTTAAATAAGTATCAGTACTTACCAATGATGCGTGGAGAGCCATGATAGATTGTAGAATGTGCCTCTGATGATAGATTCAGTGGTTTATATACTCCGATTCCATTACCTACCTAACTCTGCATGAAACGGGGATACCCTACTCATGCATAATATACAATATAGGTAACCCCGAATCTATTTGACCGAATTAGTCAATACGATTGTAATATAGACATAGATAATAAAAAATATAATAACTGTTAAAATGCATTTGTTATTGTCCACATTAGGTACTTCAAATAGAATTAATAACTTTAATGCTAATAATTGTCTTAAAATATGTTTATTTTTTTAATTATTTATTTTTAAAACAGACTGTCTGTCATTAACTTTTAACTTTTCTGTTACACTTACAAAATACAACTGTTTAATTGTCATTTCTGTACAAATACGATGGTTTCAAAATTAAAAATTAATATTTAATAACACTAAATTATAAAATAAGATTATCTTAAGAAGTGTTTATGTTTTTGAAATGCACTTCTTAAAATAATATTATTTTACTTTTTATTAAAAATACAATAAATAATATAAATCAATAAAATATCAACTTCAATTTAACGTAACTAACTAAATAAAAAAATACATGAACATTATACATTATTAACCATCTTAAAAGATTAAATATGTTTACTACAAAAAGAACTCATATAAAAATAGGTACCTATTTGAAAGTCATGCCTGAGATAAATTATTTACCATAAAAATTCTTATTAATACTTATAATATTATAGTAGTGGTTTCTAATAGTTATGACATCTAATCTAAAAACATACGAGTGTATTTAGATTAAAGGTATAATAATATTTTGTTTTATTTAAGGATAATACATTTTCAAATATTAAAAGTGTTTTACAAGTTATTCAATTAATTGCATTCTACAATCTATACAATATATTTTATTTTATCAGGTAATATATGTTAAAATTGATTAATCCCCAAGCTTTATTTTACCTACTCTGCAGTTCTCTCAAAGTTATTTTTCAAATCACGCCATTATTTTCCAATAAGCTATCACACAATTTTAATGAGCTACTATGACTATATTATCTTGAAACCTGAGTCGTAGATAAGTAGTAAAGCTATTTGATAGTTCAAATACATATTTTTGTTTAATAACAGAAAACTTAAGTATAAACATCATCGCATAAAATCAATCATTGATATTAAATTATCACAGTAATTATTAATTACTAAAATGTATAAAAAATGTATTTATTAATAGTATGCATGCTACACGTTTTATAAACAAATAACAATTTTAAAAAAGAAACTTTTAATATTATTAACGTAGAATAAGTATTTAAATCAATTAATTTTAATTTAAGACGTTAAAGTGAGTATATTACTTATAATTTACCATTTATACTACTATAAGTATACCTATGTAATATCACATATTATGTAAATGATAGGTACATGTTGTTCATGTTAAATATAAATTATTGCTAGTTATTCACTAAGTATATTACACTAAAACAGTTCATTATTTAATTCTATTAAGCGAATTCGTGCATAAATTAATAGATTCTATGTATGTATTTATATCAGCCACCTACAAAATTCAATTATTTTAATAGCGATTTTAGGCTATTTATATCAATACTTAAATTTCAACTAATGAATTACTGAAAAGGACAAATTAAAAAAAATTATCTATTTTTCAATATTAAGTAACCAGGTTAAGTATACTTAACCAAAATAACCATGGCTATTATATCATTATATTATTATAAAATATATAAAATCAAGAACAATATTAAAATTATTTCTCTTTTAACAAAATAAATGTTATTGTTCATTAATAACAAAGTCGATATCTTAATAAACAGTTTTCAACAATCGAATAATTTAAGTATAAAAAGGGGGTTCATATTATTTTATAGATAAAACTAAATTATTAGCAGATAAAATAAAAATTACTTTAGCGTAATTATGGATATTATTAGTTGTATTTCAATATTTTTTTTTTCTGATAATAAATAGAGAGTTATGTTTTACTAATTAAATTACATTATAATAAATTAAACCTTAATGACTTAACAATAGTTATTGACATTCAAAAAACAATAAAAAAATAAATTGGAATTGAAGATTCAATAGAATATAATACGAATATTGCACATAATATTATATAAGTAAATCTTTGTAAGCCATGATTTTTATAATCTGAATGGAATGAAGAAACGAATAATTTTACTGATATTTTATGGGAAAAAAATGTACATTATAAAATAAATCTATTAACAACTATAAAAATTCTTTATAATTTCAACCTATAATATTTTTTAATAATAAATTTATCAATTTTTTATTTCCGTTAAAATTAAAAGCTTGTTATAAGTTTATAAATATGTCTGAAAAAAATCGGAAAATGTATTAGTTTCATAATCTAAAATGAATAAGAACAAATTGACGTAGCCGTTTGAACGTGAGGAAATTATACGACAAAAACAATTAATAATAGTAAAACTATTAGGAGTAAAAATTAAAATGCAATATCAAAAATAGTTGTTTACATTGTATTTATATATTTTTTATAATACTTAAAAAATGTGTGTAAAATATCTAAAACAATTATTTGTTACATAAAATATAATAATTTAAAATTTATCTAAATCACTTTTTTTATTATAATAGGTACGCCAACAATTAAAATACAATATAAACAAATACATATATATATATCACTTAATTTCAACTAATATTAATAATTAAATTTAAATATTTTTTTTTTTTTTTTATTGATATATTTCATAACTGATCTATTTGACGTGTAATAATATATTTTTTTAATTTTACTACTAATATTAATAAAATAATTATTTATTTTTTTTTTTTTTTTACGTCCAAACGACTATTTGACTTGGACTGAATCCATAATTATTTTATCCTCCTGCTTAATCACTATAAAGCATAATAAGTATTTAGCAATAACATAAGAGATTTAGTCATTTTTTCTCTAATTATTTTTGTAAGTAGGTACAAATTTATACACACGCACACCCACACACACACACATCATAATAAAGTGAACATGACAATTTAACTTCACTCACGAGAGCTTTTAAATATGATTTAAATATATTATGGTAGTGAATAACACTACAGCCACTCGTAAGTCGTAGTACGATATGCGCCGATGCGAGACGAGTGGCTTACTACAACGCCCGGTCACTGTACGTTGTTTGTTCTCTGTCCAAGTCGTTCAAATGTTTTTAAATCTAAACAAGTAAAACAATCGACAACGCATATTATGATATTGTTTTACGTGTCTACAAATTGCGTTATAATACATGTATATATGTATATATATGACTACGGTAACGAACGTTCCAGCGTCCGCGTTTTATTCAACAAAAAATAATATCCTACCAACTACATTTTTCTACGAAAAATTAATTTATCGCTAAACACCATAATTAACGGTGTCCAATACAAAAACTTAATTAAACTACACTGAAGATAACCGACGCAGCTACATCGTATTTATAGTAATAACTAATAATATTAGTTCGGTGCAACTGATTTTTGCCATGTTTGTTTACTGTTTGCAGCTACGCATGTTTATAACGAACAACGTAAATGTGGGCCCAATTTATTGATTTGGCCGGGAGAACATTTCCTCTCGCGCTTTTCCCATCTTTCCGCCGACTCGCTCTGTCCGCACTAGTTCATCCCTGCGACATTACACAAATACGAGTACGCCTTACATTCGTCACTGTATTACAACCCGATACTATTATCAATATACATCGTTTAATTGAATATTACCGACGATCGAGTTAAGTGAGTAAACATTATACATTTTAATAGTTATGATATCCGACACCGATTTGTATATAAAAAAAAAACAACAACTTCCGCGATTTTTCTCGATCCGATTTACTTGTCCAGAACCCCCCCCCTCCACCAGTGGTGTATCGTATATGTTTTACAATAGTGATTAAGTTTTGTCGTATATTAGTCACGTGTCGTACGACTTTTCGACCATATTGTATAAGTAAACGCAATACATGACTTGTGCGTGAACCGTGCGCAAACGTGTTATGTTTTAAGCATAATATTATGACATTTATTTTAATGAAAGGAAAACAACACGGTTTACTGTTGTACTCATGGTTTGAATACGTTTCGCAAACTTCCTGTAAGCAGAGAAATAAATTGAATTTATTTGATTTGATTTTAGACAATTCAAGATTTTTATAGTTAAACTGACGTTTAAAATTTGAGTTTTTACGTGATAAATATACTTAATTACTTGTTTAGTATAATTTAAATTATAAGAACGCCATGATACAAAACATTGTTATACCAATAGTAGAAAGTAAATTATATTTAGTATAGTAGTACACCTAAGCTTATTATGTATGTATACCTAATTTAAGATCTGTATTTAGGTAGTTAACTGCAGTTATACCTGAATTACATCATGATTTTTATGTTATTAGAAATATTGTTGTTGAATTAATAAAAGAAATACAACATCTATCTTTAAATATAGATAGCCGTTTACCTAAGTATGGGTAATTAAATTATCTTATCAAACTATGATTAATACAAATGGTATAATTATTTACTATGCTATAGTAAATCAACATTAACTCGAGAAATATATTAGGTGACTAATAAATTATAAATATAGATAGCCAGATAGGTAGATAGTCTAGTAACTAAAAAATAAATACTGCATTAGCTACTACCTACTATTATATTAAGTATCTAAAACATTACCACACGACTTTGTATCATTATTAATTATACTACTATAGCAATTTCGATTTTATTATAATATTATATAAGGTATACTTTTATTATTTATACATGGATGCTGCTACTGTGACATCTCGAGTTACACAATACATTTTTAGATTGGCATTTACATTGATGATTTGTAATTGTAATACATTTGTTTTCAGACAATCGCCTCTTATTAATCCTTGTTTAGTCAAAGAGAGTTGAAATACCGTTTAATTAATACCGATTCATTATGTAGGATAATTGCCGATTCTAAAATATTTTCTTCGTATATAATGAACTGTTTCTAATCATTTATTTCGGTAACATATTTTGCAATGATTGAACTTGATAATCCCATTTTCAAATAGGCTTGAGTCTACTTTTAAGCCTGTACTATATGTCGATATCATAAACTAAATCATGTTTAAAAGTTTAAAACAAAGTATGTGGTAACTGTTAAATATGAACAATTTTTAATCACATATGTACTTTTTTGACTAATTGATCAATTATTTGAGTAGATATATATCATATATGTCAAGATATCACGACTTATATTTCAATCGAAATAAATATTCAATTGTTGAATTTAATTATTACAATTTTCGCAATAATATAAGTTTAATATAATCATATAAATATATTATTATAATATAATAATAATATTTAATATGCGTATTTGGTAGCTATTAGCTAATTTTTTACCTAACATTTTTGAATAATGCAACACAAAAAAAAAAAACACACATTTGGTAAAAAAAATTGAATTTTTATTAACACTGATTTTTAATCAAATCTCATTTGTAAGAGTTAAAACTAAAAAATCAAACAGAATTTGATCAAACTATTTTTTTGTACCTTACTAATAATCTATTTCAAATATTTTAAATTAGAAATAGGTGCCTACTGGCTACTACGATTATATATTACACATGTGTATTAAAAGTACTTATTCTCAATAAATTTGACAAATGCCTACAAGAATTTCAATAATTATTGTGTCTGCCATAGCATATGATTGAAAAAAAATCCAACCAGTCAGTCAGACAACAACAATTAATCATTAAAAAAGATACATTATTTTTCGATAATATGCACTGTAATCCAGTAGTGGCGTCCCGTAAGTAGGTTACGCAGTGTGATCGTTAATGTTGCCGTTGTCTTCTGATCGGTGGCAACTGAGCCCTGCAGTACAGAGTTGTCCGTGATCATCTTTTCATTGAATTCTATTGACTCGAGACTGTCACACTACGGGTGTCCCAGCTACTTTTGCATAACCCTCTCGTCTATTATGGTCGGCTAATATTCTATATTGTTATATCCGCACTATAGCGGACCAGACGGTGTTCTCCGAGTAAATTAAATACATAAAATACAACAGCAAACAATAAAAAACGAAAAAAACTTTCTTTTGTCCCACAATATCGCTTTCATCACTTAAGGTCCTATGTTTTATATAAATTCATATGTTATATGCGCGATTCCTTGGAGCAAATACGGTTGGTAGTTCCGTTCCTAGTTACGTAAATAATTATTTTATTTGTGTGTATATAGATATACTTTAGTAAAAACACAATTATTACCGGATATCGAAAACATTTTAAATTAATAAAATATAATATCAGTAAAATAAATTAGGAAATTTCACGCTAGAATTTTCTCGAGGCATATTCAAAGTCTTCTTTGTACAATCACTTTTAATACCATATCTGCCTTGAGAATTCGGTAACTAACTATAGATTTTCGTTGAGTAATTTAATCGTACAATAGAGGTAAACGTATATTGATACAATATGCCTATTTAATCCTAATAGGTATTTTAATTCTATTATTTATGCATAAATATATATATATATATATATATATATATACACATTATACTTGCGTAAATATTTTAACCTTCTAAAACCTTTGAAAATTTATACATGTATTATGTTTCTACCGTTCACTAGAATTTTTAAATTCCGAATGCAGTGTACATGTATTGATTTTACTATGATTATGATTTTATTTTATGTTATCACCGTTTAGACCAAAAAATAAAAAATAAAATTATTCAATCTTAAACTTTTAGTCGTTACTGGTAACAAATTAAATTCTCAATATTTTTCAAAATAAATCGGAAAAAAAAAACAAAAAACAAAATACGGCAAAAATGGAAATATTTACGCAAAACAAGCCATTCAGAAAATTGTTTTAATTTTTTTTTTTTTTAATATAATTAAAACCCATAAAAAGTTTGTACATTGATGAAGGTTTAACAAAAATAAAAAGTAATAACCGTGTTTTTTTTTAATTCAAAAATGAATAACTGTATAAATTTTATATTCTCACCAATATTTAAATTAGCGTTTAATAGAAATATAATAATTTTCAAAATATTTTGGCTGTTCTGTGTTAATTATAGATATGATTTGAAATGTTAGTCTTTCTTAATACCTATTTTCTTAATTTTGTATTATTTATGTAAATCACAATTTTTATTTGTATGTTAAAAAATTTTAAAACTTGATACAAGATCCTTCATAAGTTTTTGAAAACATCATTTAAGCTTAGCTTACATACATTTTATTATGAGCGTTTAAGAGAATACTATACCCTCATCTGTTATCTCTATCTTACAAACATATAACGTGGTATTAATTTTTTCTCGGTAAAACCGATTTTGTGTTATTAACTTTCATATTAAAGTGAATTGACCTACTGTCAAGCTTAAAGGTAAAAACATTATCTGTAATCTTTTGTTCTCAGTTTATTACGATATTATAATTTTAAAGCAAAGAATGAGTGTGTAGATATTATAAAATAAAAATTCCCATAATATACTTAAAATTTAAAATATCGTAAAAATCGTAAAAATCGATAACAAATAATGTTCTTATCTTTAAGTTTGATAATAAATACACATTGAAATTGTGAGTATAAGGAACGCTGATTTTACAATATAATTAAAATTTTATTGTTATTGATACTTTTAAAAATAAAAGTTTTCCCACAGTGACTTTTCTCGTCTTTTTTTTCATTACTTTTTCTAAACATAAAACTTTTGTTCGACCACATAGCTAAATAGGTTTATAGTTCATACTCAATAGATATTTATTTATTACAAAATTTAATTAATCTATACACATTAAATATATACATCTATTATGATTTTATGGGAATTCGCTAACTTTAATAGACACGTTTAGTTGTCCCAGATGTAAATTAATATACTAAACGATAGGTTAACATAAAAAATCAACATTTACAATGAACGTACACAGAAAAATAAATTAAATTACTGAAATAATTTGACTGACCCCTCCTAAAAAAACAAAATATTAGGCAAGAATTTTTCTTCAATCACAATATTGTTTAATCATTTAATTAAAAACATAGATATTCTGTTTACATTGCATATAATGAATAGGTAAAGTCATCGAAGACCGGAGTTTAATTATATTATATTATCCGAATTGAAAGTATTATTCCTAATGGCTATTATAACCACAATTATTGATTATTAATAATTCGAAAAAATAAATAATTTTTAACAACATTTAGTTTATTCTAATTTTATAATATATCGTTATTCATTTTAATTTTAACGTTAATCAATAAAATTTTCAGTAAATAAATCAAAATTAATAAAATATATGTATAATACGAGTAGTTAGAATAAGTTATATAAAATAGACTTAAGATTAATTTTTAGCTCTTCTGCGCGCTTAAACTTCAAATATATTTAAAAATAGTTTGAATAATAACATATTCTCAAAATTATAATATAATATTACAATTTAAACATTGTTATTAGTAAATTATTTTTGTTAATACTATTATTTATAAATTACTTAAATTTGTATTCATGAATTATAGATGGATAGAATACCACCACAATATGATTACTATAACACAACTGATGAACCATGGTTGTCTGATAATATGCCAATTACAAATGAAAATTCTTCGGGGTCTGATGAATTGTATTCCACATTTACCACACCGATTTCTCCAATCGAACAATCTACGAGGTATTTCAATAAATAATTCACTATTTATATTGGTTTAAAAAAATATATATTTCATAAATATTATAACAACTATACTTCAACTTTCCACACTAATATTTTCCTTTAAATTTGTGTTTTAGTTATTTAGATATTAATCTGATGTTTAATTTATCAATCTTTTTTTTTTTTTTTGTGTGTGTGTGTTTATATAGCCAATACATAATAAAGTAAAAATTGTGAATTCTAGGTTCCAGGCTGAAGTATTCCATTTTTTAACATGTTCAAATTTAACCATCTATAAATATAGATTGGCATATACTTAAGGGATAAACACGCATACACTTTAAGTTTAATTAATAAATACAACTTAAGAATTAAATATAAATTTAAATTTATAATAATACAATCTAAATAATTTTACCATGAAACTTTATTGCAATCATTTGTCAAATAAAAACTAGAAAATAATTTATCCTAACACAAGATAATCTAGAATCTAGGTAATAAATAGCTGTATACACACTAATGTAATAATATACATCTATTTATATAAAGTTTAATTCAATAACGATTAGCCATCAAAAATAGACGTGACACCTATCACTATACCCACCATCAACAATTTAAGTAAAATTGGATATTGATATTTAATAGTGTTGAATTTAAATAAACTCCAAATTTCTAAATCTTTAACAATAACATAATAAGAACCATCTATCCACTCACCCACCGCTTAAAGGCGTGAGAGCGTTCTTGAAGCCACTTTACTATAATGCATACACATAACCATTAAAAAAATTAATTATTTAAGAAATGATTCGCCATTTAGCTAAAATATTAATAGATAAAAGACAATATTTATTTGCATTATTAATAACAATATTGGCAATCACGTGAACCATTTTAATATAAAATTTAGGACTATATTTAAGTATTCAAACTAGTTTTTCCTAGTTATTATTTCTACAAATTACGCAATAAACAAATAAGCTGTACATGTCTTATGGATTAAATAAATAATATTATATTTTATGTAATTATGACTACTACGTATACTAATGAATGCTAATTCTAAATTAATATATTTATCGGCAATTCAATGAATATAAATATAACAATGCATTTACTAAACATTTGGTTAATTAAACTTACACAGCTTATGGCACTTTCTCAAAACTTAAAGGAATTTCAGGAGTTCAGTACAGGCAATTTTTTAAATGAGTATGATATAAATATTAACTTGAAACTAAGTTACCATATAAGTGAGTGTAAAAAAACAGTAGAAAACTTCCACACGTGCACGCACATATCAATAATACTTTAAACAACTATTTACCTGATAAATTTTTTGAAAATTTATTTGAACTCGTCGTAAAATTTACTCAAAAATAGTTTTTTGCATATTTAAAATTTATATCTTCCCTTCAATATAATTAAAATTTTAATATTCTTAGCATTAAATATTTAAATATTTAAAAATCTAATCTTGAAGAGCTTAGAAGTTTAATTTCAAAAAGTGGAAAATTCATTTTCAAGTTAAATTTATAACGAATTTAAGTATGTTTTCAGAAGCTAGAGAGATATTCAAAAGATAGTTAGCATAATCAATGGGTATAATTGGCATAAATTTTCTATTTATGTCGAAAACATTGCAGTCGGCATTAAATACACTATATATTATATAAATAAACTAATATTTAAATTGTATTGGTATAGTAATAATTAGCATGTAATTAGTAACCGATTAATAAGTACTAAATAGTAAAAGAGTATAATTTTAATTATTTGAAATATGGAATACATTGGTATGGGTGACATACATATTTTATCAAACTAAGGAATCTAGGGCTAAGTGCCCTCTTTTTCCATTGTCATTGAATATACTTATTTATTGACCATAAAATTTTATTTTATGATTTAAATATATATATATTTTTTAATTTTAAAGTGTATTTTAAGAAATCTCACTGTGTTTATTCTTGAATTAGCCTCCTACTATTTACACAAGTCAACCCAACACTTTCTAAAGGTACTTTATAAATTACACTTACGTAACTTAGTAACTATATACATTATACACTTATAATGAAAATTAATAATTTGGTTTCCAAAATATTTATGAAATTAGCTATATAAATTGTAAACTACTCTATATTTTAAAGTATTTTTTTAATAAATCAAAAATTCATTAAATTAAATTAATTTAACTACTTAATATAATAAATAAAGAAAAAATAATAAGTAAAGAAATTATTATTATCGAATAAACACAGAGAATAACTTTGCTACCGTATATATGTATGTATTCATTTCATATTGCAGCTTGAATGCGAATAAATTAATGGACAAATTAAATGAACAATGCTCCAAAGAACGAAACAAGTGTGAGAACTATGTTTTTCCATCTTCGTCAAGTATGAGTTTCACCGGTATGTGTATTATAATATAGTACTTCAAAACAGTAGTTATAAGCCCACAGCAATAACTATTACTGCAGTGTTGGCGCCAAGGGTGGGCTATGTCTGAACAAATATATCGGCCTCGTAGTAGTGAGTGGTCCATTATCCCAAAATGTTCATGGTTACAAACATTTTATATTATTATTTTAGTTACATACTAATAATATTATAAGGATAATATCATATTATGTATACAATTAATGAGTAGGTAAAAAAAAAAAAACAGGAGCCTACCGGCTACCAGGATGTTGATTACTATTTATTAGTCAACATTTGATAGTATATTTCTACTAAATTTGTATATACTCATAGTATTAGAGTTTATTAACAAGTTTAAGAAAAAATCTCATTGCGTGAATATTACAAAGAGTCTAATAAAATAGTTATACAGGGATAGGGCAACATTTTAATTTTTTTTTAAATATTTTGAGTTTAGTTATCTTAATTATTATTTAACTATTTAACAATTAACTAATAATCAATTAGATAATTGAAAATAAAATTCAAAATTATAATTAAATAGCTTTATTTTAAGCAAAATATTTATATTGAAATAGAACTTTTAGTAAACAACATGCAAAAATCAATAAAAAAAAAAAAAAATGATAAATACTGCATAGCTGTAAAACTTTTCCTTCCTGACCATTTATGTTATAAATTATCTGTCTTCTGTAAAATTTACAATCATAGACAATATATAAACTGAATTTTAATGATTAAACATAAATACATGCGTATATAATTGTCAATATGCGAGTGCGCGTTTGAGATTTAGTTTTCAGTATTTATAGACTATAGTTATTATCAAAGTAGTGACTGTACACATGTCACATCATTTCTAGAATAATTAGGTCCAATTATTTTTGGTTCTGATTTTTATACAATTAAAAAACATTGAAATGATGAGTCTAGTGAGCAACTCGTAAATTTTCATATTTTCTCTGTTAAATCCACAACTGTAGACGAGACCAAAAAGACGTACATTGTACATTTTTAATGTGAAAATAATATTTTCGTTGAGAATGATAGACTATTCCACCAATAGTTTTGGCGCCATTTTGAGATAAATTTTATATTGTTTATATAATATTGTGAAATCTATCTTTTCATGAGAAGTAACCAGCTTCATTAAATGGAAACATCTATTACACACTTCGTAAAATAAAAAAATATTTCACGAAATGGTCATTCCAATATTTGACATTGTGTACCTAATTATTTTTTCACTATGTTTTGTTTACTTTGTGATAAAAAAAATTAACCAGAAAAAAATGTCATAATGAATATTATTGTTTATTTATGCCATATTTAATACCATATAAAAATTTTATTTGTGATTTTGATTAATTTAAGTTGTTTTTATAAAAGATACGCAAAGTTATTTACAATAATATTTATAAATATTTAAGTTATATTAATTATAAAAAAAAAAAAGTAAAACAAGAAGCTATACTCAAGTACCTACAACGGCAAATCAATTTCACACTATACCTACTTTTAATAGAAACATATCATTTAGATTAACATGCACTTTTACACGAACAACTTAAGCCCTAAGGTTCTGACTTTCTAATATAACCCAGAACAGTGTCACGTAAAGTTAATTATTTTTGTTTATTGATTTTTTAGCTGAAATAAAAATTGTAATGGTATATTTCCAGAATTAAGTATTGAATATGTGAGTATTAAATAGACTATTTAATAATATAACCCATACAGACCATACAATAACTATATATTATTGGTAGATACTTAAAATTACATAAATGAATATCATTAAAATCTACACACTTCTGACATCAATTTTTTATCGTAGATATTATTTGATTATTTAGTAATTGATAATTATTTGCGTGAAACTATTTAAGTTCCTAAGTTGTATCAAGAGATCAGTTAGTTCCCAAATTATTCATGGTAAAAATACTTGCAAAATCAAAGTATATGCTTATTTTGAAAGGTATATATTTTAACATGAAATTTTACAATTTTCATAACTCAATGTTCTGCTTAAACTAATAAAACTATAATATATTCATAAAAAATGTTTTCCCTTTTTTAAATGAGATACCTATATTTACATTTTTTGTTCCTATGATTTATGAGAATTTAATATTATGACTTAATAGTTAAGTATTAAATAATAACAATGTGTAACTGAACCTATCTTTAAATGAATATAAAAGAATTGTATACATCAAATCTAATATCAGTAATATGGCTTTAAATATGTCATAGTACATAATAACCATGACGTATACTTTAAAGAAAATAATAATAATTGTGTGCAGTTAATATTTTATTTTACAAGTGAATAAATTTTAAAAAAATTGCGCAATGTAAAATTTAAGTAACCATTTCATGAAAAAATTGATATATTATGAAATATTTTCATTTACATCACAAAGTACAAAAAATAAGTTTTCATTTCATGAAGCGTACAACTTTTCATAATATGAAAAGCTCAATTTCACAAAGTGGCTACGACTCAATTGTGCAGATATTTTAATAACTATTATTGTTAATTAAATATAGATGCAGATAGTTTACACCCGTTGTCAGCTCATTCAAGGTTTCAATTATCCGACATGCCAATAGAACTACAGCCAGAGAGGTCATCAAAAAAACGCTCGTGGTTCTTTTTGGCTTGGATCACTAGTCTGGACTTCATCATCGAACCTCAGAGTACGGATACAGACAAACAGTGCACATTGATTACCACTAATAGTTTTGACATTGTAATAATCTCAACATATTCTATTTAGGCTTTTGTTACGTAGCTTGGTTAAGTCTTGTGACCATGTGCTACTTGTATAACTGTTGGGTAATACCGCTGCGTATAACATTTCCTTATCAGACACCGGAAAACCTATGGAAGTGGATGTTGCTAGACTATTGCACTGACGCAATCAATTTTCTGGACACATTTGTGATTAAACCACGTATTATGTACCTTAAAGATGGGTTTTGGGTGCGTGACCTAAAACTTATTGAAGTCAACTATTTGGAAAAACTCCAATCGAAAGTAAAATAGACTTTGTATAATTAAATAATTAGTGTAAATAAATTTGATAAATTTTATTTAAAATAAGAATTTCAAAGAAAACAATGAATTCAATGCATTAGAATTAGGAGGTAGGTACTGTAAACAAATAAAATTAGAATCACACTACATATACTCAATGTTCATGTTTTAAATTATAGAACAATATTATATTTTTATACCGTTCAATTATTAACATAAAATATCTATGTGAATGTGAGTACAAAAGTTTATTACATGTATTTATAACATTTAGGTCAAGATATAGATGCATTATAAAATAAACATGTTTTTAAATTAATTTCATCAGATTATAAAAAATGTTACTTATTAGTTATTTATATCATTATAACAAAAAAAAAAAAAAAATAGGAGGAAAAATTGAATATCATTTAACATAATTGAAATCTAAAAATACCTATTGTGAGTTTTAACGTATAACAATAAACGTAAGTATTTAAGAAAAATTAAAGATTTTATTAACCACATCAAGTTTGGTTTTGAATAAAAGTTCAAAGTTAAAAATTAAAAATTATAATTAATAAATAATTTATAAATTTATAAGTAGAATTTTTTTATTAATACAATTTTGTTACTAGGTATAGATAAATTAAAATAAAATTAATCTAATAATATTGAAACATTGAAACATTCAATATTAATATTAATTTAAATAATTATAACTTACTTGTAAATTTGTAATAGTCTAATTAAGCTTTAAAATTTAATTGAATAATAATCATTTCGAGAACAACAGATTTAATTGCAACTATCTAATGTTTATGTAACATTTTATAATATATATTATATACATTATACCTATCCAATGAATGAAGTTTTGTAATTCAAACACCGCTATCAATAATTAAGAAAATTATATTTTTACGAATTTTTTTCTTTTTGAATAACATTAATTATACAATTTAAAATTTAAATAACGTTTTAAAAATAAATTATAATTAATAGAATAAATAAAATAACTATTTATTTGAAATGCAATAACATGACATGTTTGTAACTTTTTAATACTCAAAAATGAAAAAAATTATCATAAAATACCTATAAAATATTATTTTATATATTAATTTAAGAATACTAATATTTTTTATTTTATTGTCTCATAAAATTTATTTAATATTATATTTGTAGATTCTTATTTTGCAATTTTAGCAATATATTATACATGATAGTTAATTAATAAATATTTTAATATTATTAATCTATCATATTTTATTTTTATTTTAAACCAAATTTACAGTAATTTATATGCATATAATATTTAAATTAAAGGAATAAAATGCTATAATTTAAAATAATTTCAATGATAAAAGTTTATTATTAATTTATTATCATATTTTTAAAATACCTATCTAATATATTGATTTTATTTTAGTTGGACATCATTTCACTCGTGCCAGCTGACTTAATATGTCTAACACCAGGGTCAACTTCAGAAATGTTACCTTTGATGAGGCTAAACAGAATTATTAAGGTAAAACAATAAAGTATCATAATATAATTTATAATTTTAATTTTAACTTTCAATAATTTATTGTTAAAGAAATGTTCATTACTTCCTTGTTACTATAATTTTAATATTAATCATTATAAATTTTTCATTGGAAAGAAAATTATTTTTTTTTTTTTTTTTTTTGACCAGTACCGTATACACATCTAATTTGAGATACAAATAATTAAATATATACACATTTAGCTATAATATTACAAAAATGTATGAGCATTTACACTATACAACAATTGCAACAAAAAATAATGGCCTCTTTGTTAATTTTTATAAAGATTCAAACGTTTTGGGAATTCTTTGATCATTTCGACAGTGTATTGTCGTCGCCATATGTAGTCCGAGTAACAAGAACATTAACATACATGGTCTACTTAGTACATTTGAACGCGTGCGCGTATTACTATGTTTCGGTTAAAGAAGGGCTTGCTACGAACAATTGGGTGTTCAACGGTCAGGGAAATGCGTGAGTATAACTTGAACAAAACAATTAACATTAAAAAGCCAGTAATTAAATAATATATACATATAGCACTACAATAACACGACAATCAATAATGCAAAGGCAGGTTTAAGTAAGGTAACCCGTGTCAACTCTACGGGCTTAAGCTTAGATTTTTGTCTAACTTAAATTCGAAAGTTTAGATCATTATTTCTTAACACATTGGCTACCAGACTGATTTAAAAAATATTACATCGTGTAGGTACCATAAGAAACGCCGTTACTTTTACTATGTTTTTAATGTTATACCATGGCCTTTTTCCAAAAATGTTCCCTGTGTACTATGTTGATTATTATTTTGTAATCTTTGTTTCTAGAAAATATATTTGAAATTATATAAATAACGAATAATCTCAATTCAATATTGAGAGACTCGGATGATTCTCGTAGTACACAAGGTTCATTAAAATATGTATTATATTTCAAATACCGTATCAGTTTCTCTTATATTTTTTAACCATTGGTGCCAAATAAAAAAAATTAATTTTAAAATTTAAATATATTATTTTTCTTTTTAAAATGTATATATATTTAAATATATAACACTGTAGATATATACGCTGCTTTTTCTTCGCTACAAAGACAGCAACATCCATTGGAAAAAATCCGCACCCAGAAAACGAAGCTGAATACTTGTTTATGACTGCTAGCTGGTTGATGGGTGTTTTCGTATTTGCGATTTTAATTGGACAGGTATGTGTAAATATATTATTTTTGCAGTAAATCACAATATTATGAATAATATGTCAGAATACGTACCTATATTAAGTGTTTTAAATACCTATCTACTAATATAATATAATATTCAAAGACAGTCTAGACAGTTTCTGATCAAAAAATTTAAAAATTAACACTCGTTATGCTCTCAATAGTTATTCTTTCACAAATCATAGTCAATCGAATTATGTAAAAAAAAAAAAATTATTTTACTATCAAATATCAATACTTGCATAGTTGCTATTTAGAGGAGCATTTTTATTTACATCATAGATCGTAGTCTAGTACTGAGAAAAATATCAAATTATATAATACTCTAACATTTTTACACACCTTCGACTTACCCATCGGATAAGTCATCCCTATAAATTATAATAATAGTATATGTTAAGACGTATAAAATGTTAAGTGCGTAATATATATTATTGTGATTTACATTGACATAATTTATGTGAAATTGTATTTATTATATTTTATGTTTTCTTATAGATTCGTGACATAATAGCGACAGCAACCAGATCTCAAACTGAATACAGAAAACTGCAAGATGAAACGTTAGAATATTTGAGAAAATTGAACATACCTCCACGAATACGAGAACGAGTTGAACAGTGGTTTTCGTTTACTTGGGAACAACAAAGAACCTTAGGTAAATAATTATATTATATTTTATACTTTAAAAACATGAAAATTATATATAATATAAGTAACTACATGGGTATTATATGTATTAATAGTTAATACGCATGTTCAATAGGAACGGCCCGGGAAAACATTTCCGATTGAGAAATTTTATTTGCCCGATTTTATTTTTCGACAATATTTTCAAGTTACCATAAACACAATGGGAGAAGGGATAAATGAGTTTTTGGTTCTAAATTTTCTAAATATTTAATAATCATACCTTTCAAGATTATTTTTTAATATATAAGTAATTGTTATGTAAGGTTTGAATCTCTGGATATTTGATCCTATAGTTGGACTTAAATTAAGTGCAGGCGGTTTAACAAATAAATATAGCTTATGCTCTCTAGTCAACATAAATATACTTTTTTTATACTGATATATTAATATGTTCCTTTATATTATTTAATATATTTTTGTAAACAGATGAAAATCGTATTTTGGACTCACTACCGCATAAAATGAAAACTGACGTAGCCATCAACGTACACATGAAGACGTTGAACAAGGTGCAGTTGTTCAAAGACTGCGACAAAGCACTACTACGTGAACTGGTGTTAAAATTGCGTCCAATATTGTACTTACCAGGCGATTATATATGCCGCAAGGTGAATTTAATTATTTCTGCACGTGTTAAGAATTGTAGTCTTTTAATTTAAACCATTTAGATGCTGGAACCATTATAACACATAAATAGTACCTTACTCAATATCTGTATATATATTTTTTAAGTCGGCTTGAGTACACTCCACAGCATACCTACATGTATAATATATTTACGAAATGCATATTGTATTAAATTTAAAGTGCATAAATGCATTTTCATTTTCTATATTTCATATAATACATGTCAAGTATTAAAAAAACGCCAAAGCACTTGTGTAATTTTCGTCTCACAAATGTATATCATAATTACTCGTATACCAATCAAATTCGTGTTCCACAGAACTTTTAACTTTGTGCTGTATGCTTTAATGTTGTAGTGAATTTACTTATTATCCAACATTAAAATAAAATTATTAGATTGAGCATCACGTAAGTTTTTAATGATATTTTAATTTTTAAAGTGAACTGCATAACAATATAAAATTACTTTAATCCTCGAGATGAAAATCATATCTAACTAAAATCTCTCCCAACAGTTCTAACATAAAATAAAGAAAAAAAGACAATGTAAAATATTATAACTTTAAAGATCTTGCATCATTATAATCGTTTTAAAAATAAATTATTAATAAAAATCTACGAGATGACCTAAATAATATTTTTATGTTTAAGTTTGATAATAATCGGTCTAATATCAAAGTTAGTAACACAAATTTGCTAAGTAGTACGTTTGTAAGACGTATAGATGACAATACAGATATGCTATGTAGCGTAGATATTAGGTATGCACATACGTCAATACGTCGCCCATACTGTACTGTAAGTTTCAAAGTGCCAAAATTTTCAGAAACAAACAGTCAATACCTGTGTATGATATGGGGTCTAAAATGTACGTTATGTGTTTCTATGAAAATGTTATTACTCAGCTTTGTCGTTAAACTTTTTTCTTTCTTTATCTCGCTGTTAATAGGTTATAGATGGGCAAAATTCTATGTTATGCTAATTTGTTTGAACAGTTTTGGCACTCAGACATATTTCTCTCTTATTTTTCCCTAGCTTTAAGTCTAATTATTTATAATACGCCAGTATGATGAGGATGTCACATTCTCTTAACACATTATCATAGTGCATACATACTATAATATCATGTGGACCGACAGAAATAACTATATCACAGCAATTATTATAATAATTTATAAAATTCCAAAAGTTTACACAATATACTATACCATATACATATTCCATAGGGCGAGGTCGGCAAAGAGATGTACATTGTGAAAACCGGGCAGGTCCAAGTAGTTGGCGGTGAACACGACGATGAAGTATTGGCCACACTCACAGAAGGTTCGGTGTTTGGCGAGATCAGCTTATTGAGCCTGTGTGGTACCAATCGAAGAACGGCGGACGTCAGGTAATAGCCAATTAAGGTACTTAGGTAATATATTCAGCGGGTTCTTCAAATTATTTGATTAGGAACCTATAATTTGATGGTGACATGATGTAATTATAAAGATTTTCATAGTAGCCTTTTTTACCTTTTTATAACCTGTTGTTCGACACCTGGTTGCAAACCTCTGTATGGCCAAAAAAAATGTCAAAGATTTTTATCGCATATATTAACTGAGTGAGTTTTTTTTAATAGGGGTAACAAATTGCATACCTATAAGGCAATTGTTTTTCATTGCCAGACCACTTTTTCTTCGTCGTAGTAAATACATGCACTTAATGAACGGGCAGTGCATAAATAAGAGGTTGAAGAGTTATAAAGTTTGAAGTAGCTTTTGTAGTGCATACTAAAAATATGTACATTTATAAATTATTTACGTCCGTTTATATCATACTATACGTATAAATAAATTATGATTTTAATAAAACATTTTAACTATTACACATAAGCCGTCGACGAATTCATAAATTTTATGGTAAGTAGTCCAATCACATAAAAAAAAAATAGGATGTTATAGTACCACTTTACCCGTTTCAAAAAAAATAAAAAAAATCAACATTGTTTCTGTGGTTGTGTTATTAATTGTTTCTAAGAGAAAATATAAATCTATAAACCATATGCGCAATGAATCATATTACAGAGGAAGGTCGATTATCTTCACCGAGAGATCAAAAATAAATTAATTACAATAATTAAAAAAACAGACAATGAGTACCGCTCTGCTATACATATTAGATGTCGAACCAGTCACAATTATGGGTGTGTTAAATTTGAATTTAATGATATAATATCATTATTCATTAGTTCATTACATACAAAAAACGATTCTGAATATAAAGACGGTCTGTCAATTTGTATCACTAAGTAAATTTCGTAATGTTATGATTTTGATATAGCTATTAGTAATTTATTTTACTTTTAGTATTACAATTTTTTCCACGAATATTACATTTATTATATTATTAGTTTATTTTTATTAAAATAATACCTATATATTTATACCATATTATAAATTTATATAACAAAAAATATGCTATCATATTTCTGTAAATACTTAAACATAAAACGGTAAAAATAGATTCATACTATAAATATCTAATAATATATTAAAATACATCAACAGTATCAATAAGATTCATAATAATATAAGATCTTTTAAAGTTTTAAGTTCTCATGAATTATATTTTTAAATTATAACAAAATAATTAAAATCATTATTTATTGTTTAAATAAGTAATTCTAACAAAATTGTTAAAATATCTATAAAAAATAATTATCTTTATATATTTATTAGATTTTATGGATTTTGTATTAAATACTTATAATGAATCTTGTCTTCAATTTTTTCAAGAATTCTGATTAAGTGAATAATTTTTTATCAACATTTATAGAAAAAAATTTGGACATGTCTATAAATAACTTAAAAAGAGTTAAAAAATTATGAAAATAAATATCTCATGAGTAAATATTAAATGTCATGAACATTTGAAGTTGAAATGCTAATATAAAAAATTAATTTGGCTTTCTGGTAAATTTTTTTTTAAATTTATTAATTGAAAACTTAATAAAGAATCTTATACTAAATTTTAAAATCTTACGTTTAAAAATTTTTATAAATTTTTAACTACAAAATAATTTACTAATTTTCACAGTTTTTATTAATTTTGTTAAAATTATAGCTCAATATGCTTATAAATAAATATAATGTGTAATGATTATAAATTTTTCGATATCACCTAATTGAAAAACTAACAACTATGAAAAGCTTCTTTGCGTCAAACTTTCACATATTTCTACCCAAAAATACTTTTAAATTGACAGTTCTAAAAAAAAAAAAAAACTAAAAAAGATTGAAATTTTTTCATGTCTATAAATAACTGAAAAAATATAAATATTTTAAAAATGTTATTGTATATATAAAATAATAATATTAACATTTGGTAAAAATTTCAATTATCTATCTACATTTATTTGGTTAAATCGGATTTTGTCAAAAATTTAATTTGCGTAAATATGCTCGTTTTTTTTTAATTTTTTGTTTATTTTTCCCAATTTTAAAAATAAGCAATGGAAATTTAGTTTGACCTCTTCAAAGTATAAGCTAAATGCAATTTTATATCTAAAACCACCTCCATTTTTGAAAATCAAAGCATTTCATATCAATAACTTATCTGTTATCTTGTACTCATCCACAAAAAAAAAAAACAGTTTATTGTAAAATCAATAAATTCATTGCTTTCACGAAGAATCCAAAATATACTATGAACATAAATTTTAAAGTTATATTTATACATAATTAAAAATAAAACTAATGTACTATATACTGTATACATAACATATAAGTTTGGTAGAATACATAAATATGTATTGTTAAAATTACGTAATACAATTAGTTTTAATTTAAAATTTAAAATACATATTTTGCGGATAATCGACACTTCATTCATCATTGCGTACTGTAAATTATTGATTCGTGCATGTCTGTAAATGTATTTAAATAATTAATAACTAGGATCAAATTTTAATGAAAATTGCATTTTAGGGGAAGGTGATTGCTCTAAAAAAAAATATATTACGAGTAGATAATTTGATTTATGTACAGATTATATATATATTATATATTTCATATTTATTTATAACAGATACAATTCACAAGTGATAGCATTTTAATTGGTACATATTTTAAGTTTTTATTGAAATTAGGTATTTAAAAACTTTTTCTTTAACAAATAATTGAATAAATAATTTAGCGCCATGATATTCACTAATGACCAATAAATCATTTCCGATTTTTTCATGGACATTTTTTAATTTTTAATTTATTTTACTTCCTCTACTATTAAAATATGCATATTAAATCGATGTTTTGTAAAAAAGAAAAAGTAGGTATTAAGTAACTTCTTAAAAACATTAATAAGATCAAAAATGTTATTTGACAATCTTTTGATAATTTTTAGAGCATTTAATTTTTGGTTCTATTAATAATTAATTTTGTTATAATACACAGATCTCACGGGTTTTCCAATATTTTTGTTCTAAGCAAAGAAGATCTTAACGAAGCCATCAAGTTTTATCCGAACGCCCAAGAAATACTGAAACGCAAAGCAAGGTGAGTACCAATCATGTATATCGCGTTTTTATTATTATAATTATTATTACAGAGGTACGGAATAAATAAATAATAACTAAGATGAGTTCTAAGATACTTGGTACTTGAGATAGGTAACTATATATTGACAAATCGAAAAATCGTATAATATAAGCAGTTGTATAATGGTATTCCAAATTATTAATATATAAATATTTTGAATGTGTCAAGTGCCGAGGAATTAAATTTTATGCGTTTTGATGAATTTTAAAAAAATTGTTACAATTGAATTCAATTGAGCTTAATAAGTGCAAAATATTATAACTGCGTGTTATTTTTATGTTCTTAATCCTTGGTTTAAATCTTTTATTTACTTGTATATATCGATTTAAAATTTACTAAAATAACCCGACCTTTGCTAATAAATAAATAGTAATTCATCTTAATTTAAAAATATCTATTTTCTTCGTCTTAGGGAGCTGATTCAGCAAAATGCAGCAAGAGAACACAGGCAAATACCTAATGAACTACTGGACAATCAATATGGAAACAGCACGGACAACTTAATGCGAGTCTTATAAATCCACTCATAAATAAAATATTTAAACATCGAACATGTTAAATATTTTAAATTTGATATACCTGCATATAAAATACAATAATTTGTAAAATATTATTTCTTTAGTTATAATATATTATCTAGATGTAATACTATATAAAAAATACAAAAAATATCAATATTTACATCTAAATTTACCAGTGGCGTCCCGAGACTCATTTTTAGGGAGAGAAGAACTAAATAAGATATAGACCTTTGTATGTTAAAGTTTTAAATTACTTATTGTAAAATAATATATATTTATTTTTATTATTATGTTTTAAAAGGCGTTTTAAATATTTACGTGGCCACGTGTGTTGTATTCATATTGTATTACATGACAAATTAAACGTTCAGAATATAAATCTAAAAATATATTTTACTCTGTTATTTTTAATTTTTTAACGAATTGATCTATCATCATATTTGAATAGGTAAGAGTATTGTTTATGGCCCTCTATAGATTTATTATAATTTTTAAGCAAGTTAAAAATATTTCTACAACAACAAAAAAATATAGGTAAAATAAAATATATAAAAATAAAAATAAATTTGAAACTTTAAACTTTAAGATGGAAATAACATATGCGAGCATAGGTGGAAATAAAGGGGCTTGAGAGGACTAAGTCCACTCTTCCTAAAAAAAAAAATAAATTGTCAAAAATATGTTATATTATAAACTTATTTATAGGTTTATGTTAAAAATGTTACACTCGCACCCCTAAAAATTTTAATAAATTTCTACCTATGCAGCGAGTACGCGTTCTTTTAAAAGGTTATGGACAAACGAAATTAAAATCATACATTAAAACGAAAATTATATAGTTTAATGCACTAAAATTTAATCATTCAACTGATTATTAGTAATTATAGGTTGTACGAGTAGTATATATATATACGATTATCAGTCATATACAATAATTGTTCGTATTTTATTAAAATTAATGTTATCAGAAACGATTCAGTAACAAAAAAAAAAAAAAAAATAGAAGTTATTTTAAAAAGCTAAAAGTTACGGGAAAAAACCGATACATTTTTCTATTTTAATAAAATGTCGACATTAAAAACAATTTTATCGTGTGTTTTAATTATTTTAATCAAATCGCGAGTTTGAGATGAAATGTATAATAATATTATAATGGCATAATGCACGGGAATACGGGATAACTATACATATTAAATATCTACCTACTAAAACATTAAGTATCTCAAATCTAATTTTTTTTTATTTTAATTAATTTAGTAACTATAACAATATGTTACAATAAATTTTAATATTTCATGTATACATCCAAATAAATATGAAATTTCCGAATCTTTGACTTGCAAAGTCGATCTCTATGGACTGTGACATAAACGTAATATCTATTTTCAATTGATAGCCGTGTAGTACGTACTCGTGCTATATAGGCACGCTATACGACCACTTCATATTTCTCAATTCTCAACCAATTTTTTTGAAAAATAAACACATTACAGTATTACACGGTGTCACGGTAGGTAATACACCTATGGCTATTGACTATATACACCAAAACAGACTAAACCTATATATCTTTTACGATCCCATCAAACATCTATATGGTAAGTAACCAAGGTCTTAACACTCGATCGTCTCAATTAAATTCCAGAACGTTATTCTTTCGATAGTCTATCGTTTCCTCGAAGATGGCACAATACGGAATAGCTTTAGGACAATAGACATAAACTTTACACGGTACACACACACACACACTTATAACGTTCGTTTTGTTTTCAATGTACCGTCGAGGCCGTGTATTATGTTTGGAGCAACTAATAATTTGTTACACTGTGACGCTATTACGACATAGAGCACACAGACGCAATTGTGATACAAGTTAAATAAAAAAGAAACCTCGACATCATCCTGCACCGCGGTACCACATGTATCCACATAATAACTGTTGGAAAAATTAAAATACCATGTAGGAAAACTTCGACTGAATGTCCGTAAACAACAAATAAAAACCAACTGTTTTATTAGGCAGGTTAGGAAGGAAGAGAAAACAATTTGTGAGCTAATGGTATTCCACGAATATCAGGATGTCATTTCACGCCAATCGCACGTACCAAAATGTATTAGGCAATACAAAAGTTAGTAATAAAACGCTTAATTATGATATACTTAATGCAAATAAACATACATTTCTACTAATGTTTGTACATTGAACATAAGTAAAACTGAGTTACAAAATACTAATCCAATACAATGTTGACAAAATACATTTCGTAATATTATTTTTATTTATTTATTTAAAAAAATTTTTATAACAAATATTTAAATCTAAGACTGTAAGAGTGATATTCATACATTATTAATTTAATTTAAAAATTTCACTCTTTTCATATAATATTATATAGGCATAATTCATAATACAAAACACTTAAAAATTTTTAAAACAAAGTATGAAAAGTAAAAATAAGTAGATAAAAAAAATTTTGATTAAAAACTAATTTTTAAAATCTTTACCTATAGTACAATCTTGGAATTTATTTATATAATCAAATAATCAATGTTGTAATTTCTTTTTTCCTGTAAAAAACTGAAAAATAATAATGGTCAATGAAATTTAATACGTAACAATTATTATATGCACATTGCACTTGTTATGAATTAAATTTTAACACAAAAATACTTATAATTTTGTTATTTATTATTTAATATTTTTAAATAAGTACTTTTTATTTTTATTTTTAATTCCTTATTCTTATTATTTACATAATACATTATATATAATAATATGACTACTTTAATGCATGCATTTTTAAGAAAAAAGTAATGAACTTGTATAATATTTATCTCCATGTAATTAAAAAGTGGATATGATTATAATACTTAAATGACAATTATCGAAATATTTAAAAAGATTAAATTTGTACATTATGAGATATGAGTGGTATGTAGAGCACAGATTTTTATGCACTAAAAAGTATCGAAATATGCCATACAATAAGTAGTGAAAATCATAAAAATAGGCAACAAATACGCAAGAACATTTTTTTTTATTTATTTAAAATTTACAACTTATAAAAATTAATTACTTAAATACTTAATGAAAAATATTTGTCTTAATATAAAATATGCAATAATCAATAAATATGTGAAAATATGCAAAAAAAAAATTGTCTTTATTAGAATCAAATTATTATGATTCATGAAGATAACTGATAAAAATCCATAAAAGTGAAAAGGAAAAAATATACTATTGCATAGAAATCTGCGCTCAGATTATATAACTACAAATATAATCAATTTTTGCTATAAAGTATGTTATAGTATTATATTTTCTTAACATACACTTTTCAATAAAAAGTAAATAAATAATAATGTAAAATTTAAACCATGTAATGAAGTTAATAATGAGGTAAAGTAACATATTTAAAATTATTTTATTTAATAACAAATAAAATAATCAGTATTTTAATGTGTGCAGCAAAAATATTTCATAAATTACAATCTATTTGGCTTTAAATTTGAAAATTATTGATTTTTTTTAAATGTACAGCAAAAGAATACCTTATTTAACTGAGCAAATGCTGATCCAAACTTGGAATGTACTTTTAAAGAAGGTTGCAACCATTTAGGAAGAGCATTGCAAACATTATCTCTTTGGTAACGATGATCCAATAGTAATACTGCCGCATAATCTTGTTGATGACGTACAGAACGACCAATTGATTGGTTTACAGCTTTCATACATAAATTTTCATAATGCTGTTGCCCAGTACCTTGACCCTATATAATAATAACTATATTTTTATGTAATAATTATAAAATTCAATTTATACCATGTGGCTATCAAGATAGTTCATTTTCTGTTGTAATTCAAGTGACTTAATATTTGGATATGGGAGACCAATGACAATAACACAACGTCCCAAATCATCACTAAAATTCAAACCTTCACTTAACTTTCCACCTTTAATAATACAAATATATAAAAATTATATGCCTAATTATTATTTAATTAATAATATATATTTAATTTGTGTAAGATCTAAAAATATAATTACCAATAACACTAAATAATAATGCACCCGTTACTTTAGAATTAGTGGTCAATGTTTTTGTAACGGCTTGTGAGTAATTCTTCAAAACTTCGTCAACTTGATTAGTTGATTTTGGTTCTCTAAATACCTTCAATTATTGCAATAAGTTAAATTTTAAACGTTTTTAGATTTAAGAACTATTATTATACAAAACCGTTATATGTGATAAAAAATAATGCATTATAAACAGGTGTAATTACTTTTTTTCTTTCAGAAAGTCTATTAATAACCTTGATTTTCTCTAAATGCTGATAAACAAGCTGTTCATAGTCATAAGATGGAAAAAAACACACAATTCCAGCAGGAACTATTCGGCAAATGTTTTCTAGTAATGAACCAATTTCATTAAGCTACGACATATTAAGACTTTAAAAGTGTACTAATTAAACATTTTAACATTTATAATGATAAAAAAATACAAATATACCATTTTAATTGAAGTTCTCTCTTGGTAAGAAAAATCTAATTGTTTTCCAGTAGGCCCAGAACATATAATCAATGGTAAGATATGATCAGGTGGTACGACATGACCACAACTGAAATGCACAATTCTATCAGAATTATCACCATTGAAATTGAACAACTGATCCTTAAACTCGGATATAGGTTCCATTGTTCCACCAGAAACAATCACTGACCTAATATTTAAAATACTTTAAATGAATGACCATACTTAAAAATACAAATAAGATACAAATAAAAAATTACCAAAAGAAAAAGAAAAAAATTATTTACCTAGCTTTATCAACAATCTCTTTAAAATGAACTGCAGGGTTCAGAAGTAAAAATTTAAAAATTCCTTTGCCGACTGATGGGTGTATAGTACTAATAATACGACCATCCTCGCAACAATTTGTTAATGACTCTATAAATGCCATTACTGGTGTAAGAGGGTTGTTGCTAATTATATCTGTAACTTGTGGCTCAATATGTTTGTTTTCATCTTAAATATACATAAATATTATATAAAATAGCAATTAAATTGTAAATGTG